AAATTACTTTAGGGACAACATTCTTCTATATATAATTCTACGGAGATATTATAGAAAGAAAAAATATCCTTATTTTTCGCTTGATAAATTTAAAATGTAGGCGGTTGTAAATTTGCTACTCTCAAACATACATAGATTCCCTTCATCATAATATAGTAGAGAAGAGATAATTAACATCATGATTGCATTTAAGTTTATTAAAATTAAAATCTAGACCTGATGATAAAGAACTAACTTTAATGATAAATGTTCATGATTGGTTTTTGTTATTAATCTCTTAAATTAGAATTGATTAGTCCACTTCTTACCATATCATTCTTTATTTGTTATATTTTCGACTAGTGTAATTGAACGATAAAACTCTTCCATCGTACTTGAGCATCATCTGATTCCTGTTTTGTCATTGCTTATTATTACGGTATCTATTAATGTTAAATTTAAGAATGAAATTGAAGTTATATTTTTTAAATTAAATATACAACTAAACCATCCATGTTCACTTACCTAGTAATTAGAAATGAAACATCAATTTTTTGAATATAGCAGCATCAAATTAGTTACTTCCAATACAATTCATCGTCATACTAAAATAATTGTGCGCCATAACGTTGGCATTGGATCCTCATCACTTGATCATTATCATTGCCTTGTTAAAGCATTTGATCATGTTTAAAGTTCAAATTTATTATATGATATTTTTAAATTAACTTTCTTCTACCATCAATCTATTTACTAATTATTAACTAAAAATCTTCTCTTTTCCTATAATACATGTTCGACTTTGTTCAAATGGTAGAATTATTTAAGAAATCTGCAACTGAAAGATTTTCCCTTATTAACTAAAGTGAACCAATTCCTTTTAATCATGGTCCGATTATTTGCTTTATCAGTTTGATATAAAATTTTTTGATAATCTCGTACATATTGAAAAACACCACACGAGAATGATGATTCATTCATAAAGATGAGATAAGTCATATACCGTAGACAAAATATCGTAGGGTATTATTAATGCTCATTGAGCAGAACAAATTGTCGAACAATAGCATTCTGTCATGATAATCATTCTATCATTGTTTTATCTTCCTCTCACGAGTCATTGTTATCATTTTATTGCTCAACTTTCATGTAGAATAGTAGTCGATAATTTTTGTCTAATTAAAACATTGATAGCTGCAAAAAATTGAATTTTATTCATTCTTGAATGATTTCTGTCGAGCTATCATTTCAAGAAAATTTTGCGATCTAAGAATATATAATGTTAATTAATAATCTGGTGTTCTATAACAAATGCTAATTTTACATAGGCTATCTATTTTAGGGATGTAAGGGAATAAGTATACTCTGTTACTAAAATTTTTGATTCTAAAGATTGGTGGAATAACTGCACGAAACAGATAATCATTTCTACTGTACGGTATAATTCATATATGGTTAATTTAATCGATAGAAGTGTTGGCAACACCATTCTCGTATTTTCCACCTGCTTTACATGATGATAAGAATATCGTTATTGTAAATGAGAGTTCATTTGATTTTGTCTAGCTATTTTTATCTAATAATCAGTTACGATAATTATTGACTCATTCAATTTAGAGACTTAAACTATGATTATTTGAGTAAAATTATCGCTTACCTTATTTTCAGGAGTAAGAATAGTAGGGCCATTTGTATTTTAGTAATGATTACGTAAGTTTTGCCTCTTTTTCCAGACTTTCAATGCTTTACTTATTTTGATCTTGTTGCTAAGGCAGCAATCAGAATAATGACTTATATAGCTTCATGGATCAGGTTTGAATAAAATTGGACTCATGAAACTGCAATTTATGCATATTGATAATTGTAAAGTACTTTTCATTATGACTAGCAGTTAGTTCTAATAGACTATGATTTAAATGGCTATTGTTTTGTTGCTAAGAAAATTAACATGGCCAAGACATGCAGCTAAAAATAGCCGAATCAACAGGTTATCGTTCCTGCCACAGTTTACGGTATAAAAACTGTATTAAAAACTTATTACCACATTTCAGGGAACGCTGCATAGGCAATCTAAAATTGGCCAAATTCTTTGGCTGCACGTTAAGTAGCTTGTAAATCATATTTTAGAATTATGAAATTAGCGATTTTTAACATTTAATAAAGGTACCTTACTCAACTATAGTATCCACTTTGATCTAATTTAAAGTTGCTGAAAGACCATTTTTCTTTAATTAATTTATAATTAGTTAATTTTGTCTTTGTTAAATATGCAGATAGAATAAAACTTAAATTCAGGATTGACAAACCGCGGACAGTGGTGCCAGTTCTGTTCATGTTCAACAAAATAATCATTCATTAAACGTGATGTTAGCAAATGCAAGTAAAATATTGCATCGCATGTAACTTACCTAAGTAAATTTCTCAAATTGGAATTATAGTATGTATAATTAATTAGACTTTCATTGATGATAATTTATTCAAAAAATTTATATAAATTATGACTGTAAATCAATGAGTAATTGATTGATCGATGGATAATCGCATATAATAACGTTAAGATAAATAAGATTTAATAAAATCTTGGCCTTACATTCATTTTACTACGCCATTTTAGCACGACATTTTAGCATTAGTAGCATTCATGCATCACATATACTACATATGTTAGCCTCCTCAACATAGACTTCAAAGTTTAAACGGAACAAAGCACTATTATTGTTACTAGTTATTGGGCATATAAAGCGTTTGTTCCATCATTTTAACTTCATTGATAGAATAATAATTGCAATATTAGATTAATAAAATAAAATCAATTATAGGTCTAATAATATATTTTTACAAAATATTAAGAAAATAACCATTCTATGAGCAAGTATCGCTCCACTCTAACCAGGTCTTATAATAAAAGCATAAAATTATACGGTAATTCGCTAAGTGTACAATGTATTGAAAGAAGAGTACTATGCGACAGTTTTTTTGCTATTTAAGCAAGTTCTAGTTTACAGTAAGAACACATAATCGTCCATGTGGTTTCTTCTTTAGTGTTAACTCCTAATACGATGATTCATCTATTGTCATAGTCTAATATGACTCTTATTCTAAAAGAAATTAATTATTGTAGTTTACCATATATACTTTGATTATAATTATTGTTAAACGTAAACTGACCATTCTCACGCTAACAAAAAATTAACCACGTTATTTAAGTTTAGTAGTTACTTATAGTAAGGATGTTGCTGTATCGTAAAAATTACATGTAGACTGTAGGAATTAGGTTTAAACATTTCCAACTATTAATTAATTAATTCACTTGAATCAACTAAAGATAAGATATCATACGATGTACTTGGCGGATACCTAACAACGAAAATTAATGTACATTTTTGTTGGTCATCGCTTCATACACTGCTTGACTCAACTATAGGAAATGAACAGTCTTACCATAGTCACAGATTCTAAATTTACTGTTAATATGAACGACAATCAATAAGTAGCTATTGTCTGCTTTCAAAAGATATCACCTTCTGTAGACATAATAACTTTTCTGAAGCAATTGAATCATTAATAACGGTCCGAAGAGTAATTCTTGTCGTTCCTTCTTTATAATGCTCTTTTCTTGAAAGCAGTAATAATACTGTATTGATTTCTGCATGTAACCTAAAGGCAATACTTTTCAGCCATATAAGTGCATGATGACTCATAGTTTTAACAATTGCTCGATTATATTATTATATCATATGAAAGTGTAATCTCACAATGCCAAGTAATGAATATAGGCGGTTTGGGCTATTTCTGGCTAGGTAATATCTATACGGTTTTACCATAGCGTTGAATACTAGAGTTTTTTAATTTTTAAAGGAGAAAAATACTATTATATCCGTTCTTACCTTTTATCATTAACGATATGAAGATTATAAATAGTATCTTTTTGTATGTTTAGTCCCTTGTACGTTTTGATTAACCCTTGGGAACGGATTATTATGTTTGGTTATTCTAATTTTTATCTATATTTAATGAATTAAAATATTATTGTTACTATAGAGGTTCTATGCATTTAATAGCAATACAATTAAAAGTTATAAACCAAGAAGTGTACATGCACATGATAATTTTTATATCGTACTTTCGCCGGTAAGATAGCAACTTTAGTTATCTGCAGGCTAACATACTTTTAAAATTTAGTGTAGGCGTGATGTCCAATTAAAAGTGCTTGAACTAGAAAAGTAGCATGCAAAATACTCATATATATATTATTATTATAGTATTTCCTGCTGATCGTTGAAATGCTCTACTATGTAGTCTACCCAGTCTTAGCCTCGTTAAGCCAAATGTGGTCGACTACACTATTCTAGCCTATTAAAGAATACAATGCACCCTCGCATTGTGTATTTGAATACTATTGATTGATAAAATTTGAGCAAGTCACGAATACGGTTACATTGATGCAATACGGAAGATTCTTGCATTTTTCATTATTATCATCATTACTGCATGACTGTGTACAGCAGATAAGGACTATTACTTGCAGGATTTAGTTTATTGAACGCTGTCACAGATAAAAAGTTTTACCTTACTTTCGGTTGTTCAACTATACTAGAATCTTCAAATAGCATACAATGGCAAAGCGAGACGGAAACGTTGCCAAGCTGATTGACTAAATGGTTTACTAATACATTTATTAGATTGATATAATTCCAATACAAATTTCGGTTTCTTCAAGTAATAGACATTTCAACGGAGCAGATGGGTATTTCGCATAATATCAGACATGAAGTATCGGAATTTCCAATTACAAATTAGCAGAAAAAATAACTACTACTGCTTAGGAGAAACCACAATACAAAATTACTGCTGTCTACGTAGACGTACTGATTTACCTTTAACGATATCACGAAGAAATGGCGTTAGCTAACGCTTGTAGCGTTGGAAGCAATCGTGATGTCAATAAAGATATTATTATTTATACTATATTATAAACATTTTGAAAATTAGGCATTAAATATAACATCAATTGCAAGGGTTTAGCAGCGTATTGCAGACCCAATTCCCATAAAGACACCAAAAGTGCCACCACCTTGTAGCATGATCTTTCCGACGGTCGACAATAGCTCTCTTCCTCGAAGTCCCATTCTAAAAGTAGAATATATATCCATTAACGAATAATTTATTTCTTTAGTATTAACGTATCCTACAAAAGAGAATTGGAGCTAAATCCCAGTATCAATCTTGATCGGCTGATGAAATAGACATACGCGTACAGTTATCAATTAAGTTAGGACGAGTAATTTTGTAAACGAATAGATGCTGACAGTTGCGTAACGGTAGTTAGTAAACATTTCGGGTTAGATTGCTACAATTTTTAAACTGTAGTCAAGTATTTGCTGCCTATGCGATAATGAAGGTGACTAGAAGCTAACATCCAGTAGATAACATACTATAGATTCAATAATAAATAATTAATCAGATATACGCACATTACTCTAAGCAAACGAGTACATATAGTAGTAGAAAACATTAAGAATGATGTGTATGTGGTCGCTACCATGCATAACGCAAAATAATTAGATATACGTACACTACTCGAAGCATACGAGTACATAGTAGTAGAAAGCGTTAAAAATGATGTGTATGTGGTTGCTACTATACCTATCGTAAAATAATTAGATATACGTCCATTACTCGAAGCATATGTGTACATACGCGTATAGTAGTAGAAAACGTTAAGAATGATGTGAAGGTAGTTACTACTATACCTATAGCAAAATAATGAGATTTACCTACATTACTCGAAGTATACGAGTACATATCGTAGTAGAAAACATTAAGAATGATGTGTATATGGTTGCTACTATACCTATCGTAAAATAATTAGGTATCAATACATTATTCTAAGTATACGAGTATGTACATATAGTAGTAGAAAACGTTAAGAATGATGTGTATGACGTTGCTACTAAAGCTATGGCAAAATCATGAGATATACGTACATTACTCGAAGTATACAAGTACATATCGTAGTAGAAAACATTAAGAATGATGTGTATGTGATTGCTACTATACCTATTACAAAACAATTAGATATCCATACATTACTCTAAGTATACAAGTATGTACATATAGTAGTAGAAAACGTTAAGAATGATGTGTATGTAGTTGCTACTCCAACTATGGCAAAATAATGAGATATACGCACATTACTCGAAGCAATACGAGTACATATCGTAGTGGAAAACATTAAGAATGATTTATATATGGTTGCTACTATACCTACTGTAAAATAATTCGATATTCATACATTTCTCTAAGCATACGAGTATGTACTGTACATACAGTAGTAGAAACGTTAAGAATGAGGTGTATGCGGTTGCTACTATACCTAGGCGTATCGCAAAATAATTCGATGTACATACATTACTCTAAACGTATGGGTATATAGTAGCAGAAAGCGTTGAGAATGATGTGTATTGTATGTGGTTGCTACCATACCTATCGCAAGATAATTAGATATACATACAATACTCTCAGCATACGAGTGCATAGTAGTAGAAAAGGTTAAAAATGATGTGGATGTGGTTACTACCATCCATATAGCAAGCGCTGCGATATATCGAGAGAGCATATGTAATATGATGCACAATATATGTTACACGTAGATCATCATCCTGTGACTATTATGATGATGACAGGACTGTAAAATAAGGATTGACCACAACTGTAGTAAGGATAATCTAAATTGGAGTGTTAAAAGAGTATTGCAATGGAACGGGAAAGCATGATCAAGACAAGAGGCTGTGTCGAGCTGCTGAAAAAACTTGCAGTACAGGAATAAGCAGAGTATACAGCATGCAATAAAATAAAAATATTGAACTATCTTGGGTTGACCTTAAGAACAGTTGCATGCTTTTAATCATCAAGCGGTGTCAGCATTTACTTGATGGATTAGAAATGATGCAGTCAAGAGTCTCGTCTGACTAGGTCGGGATCAGAATGCAGACCACTGCAACTAACAGTACTGTATTATCCATAAGCGTAAGCGTATCAAGATCATCAGTATCCATTGATTTGCAACATTCATGGCTAGCATTTACGCAGATATTGTAGTACTGTCATATTGCAATCATTCTACTGCGGCAGTGGTGTGCATTATGGCTCGGATTGAACTGTGGACCAGAGTAGTCCAGCTTGCAATCAATTCGTCCATTTGCACAACATCCATCGACGTGACCAATATCTTGACATGCAGTACACGTGTAGGATCCCTTCAACAGCAACAACAATTAAACTAACAAGGCAAAGGATTGCATACCTAAAAGCAGAATAAGTTCCAAATAATGCTCCAGAACTCATTCCAACAGCAAAACCTATCATGACACCAAATTTAACTTTATCGAAGCAGCTAGGCTGGCCATAATGTTGCGGCATCTTCCTACTCACGACTTCTTCAACACGTACAACAAGAAAGTGTGTGTGGTCGACGCGTCAGTCAGTAATAACGTGTCAATCTCACGTACGTCTCAATCTCACCAACACTACCTACAGTACGAAAGGCGAGAGTGACGCGGGTACGGTGTGACGCCATCCGAGGAAATTGAAAGGGTGAAGGGAAGCCATATGAGGCTGAATAACCCACCCTTAGATTTCTGGCGGTGCTGTGTGGACGGATGGACGTACGACAGAGTCCACGGATGGCCGTACTGTACTATATACTGTACAGTACAGTAGTTGATGACTCTACTGTACCAACGACTTCGACACAAAGTTCTACCAGAAGCGTTTCTGCAGTCTGTCAGTCACGATGCACGTTATACAGACTGCCGGCATGACAGACGGTGGGACATTTTGGGGATGGACCGCAAAAAGCCAGCACACTAAGCATGGTAGTCGTATTAAAAATAATATTATTTTTTTCAATAGTCTTTGAATTTTCTTACTGCTCAATCTTAAGAACGGAAAGCTGTTTATAACTACAGTCTCGTAGAAAGGTTCGAAGGCACATGTAAAATCGATGCATAGCACCACGACTCTGATGAAAGATGGCAATTTATGAAATGTGCTCGAGGTCAAAAATGAATTACTTGTAGTAAAATATATAGCAGTAATACTCGCTTATATCAATGCTCCAATAGACAGAGGATCATGTTTTATACGTGAGCATTCTGCAATTGAAAATGTGTATACGATACAGTATTAAAACAACAGAATTATACATCAATAGATGAATGGAGGATGCGTTGCAATGTCCTTACTGGACTCCGTAATGATCAGTTAACGGTTCATCAACAGGTGGAATTACAGAATAACTTATGAATTACTAGAAATTTACTTTTCTTCAGTAATCCATAGCAGTCCTTGTAAAGTCATTGCACGCGTAACAGCTTAGTAATCAAAGATGACATACTAAAATTAGGACAATCGAACGATGTCTATTCCGTCTAGACAGTAGTTTACACGAGCCAAAATAGGTGGAGTTGTCCATCACAATACGTGAAATTCATCCTCTACGAAGAAGGAAACTACAGTATATGGTATCAACAACACGCAAAATAGTGTTATCGAGTCGATTAAGTAGGTACAGCTATGGATTTTGCAGAAGTTATGTTGAAATACAAATGCAAGCACGAAAACAAAGCAGAAAGCTTCTTGATACTATACTATTACTGCTTATAGCGATCGTCGTAATGCAATCGATGCATAAGAAAGTACGATATTGTTTACTTAAGGAGTTATTACACAGTTGGCTTACAGGTATCAACTTCATAATTTTCAATACTGCAAAAGTTGTTTACATCTATTGAGGGATGGACTAAAAATTACTATTGTAGCAATTTAAATTATTCAATGTTATAATGCCACTCAATATAGTACTGTACATGAATTACATGTATGGACACATGCAACCCTAACAATGCAGTATACGAGTATTACACTGAGTTAATACTCTAGTACTGTAAAGGGAAATTTCGGTTTAACAACCTTGCAATAGGTTAATAGACTGCTGAACTAATCGTAAATTATTGGATCTAAAATTGAGTTATGATAAACGATGCCTACACCGTATACTGTGTACACTGTACAGTATTGTAAAGAATAAGTAATTATACTGTACATGTATATTGGAAGATAAAATTAAGTGATTATATAACAGACGTGAATCTAGATCCGAATGTACGTACGCATAAGATAGGCATTGAAGATGGGGAAAGGGCCAGCATTTAGGGATAAAATAAGAGATTTTTAGTCGATCAACACCTTGAATGGTGTACTGTATTCTTCAAAATTTAGTTAAATATTTATTACATTACATCATCATATACAGGCTTTATAAGTAATAATTAATCTAAACAGTATTCATTGATATCGATTCATAATTACCTACGGTACATAGTTTAATTAACATTATCATGAAAACTGCATAACTTTATGAATTAAAGAAACATAATGTAAGAGCCTTCATGAATTACCATTGTTACGCCTATAATAAGGGAATTACTAGATAGATTTTGTACAGTAAGGTAAGCCTTGACGTCAATCAGCTTACCAACTAATAGACTCACTAAACCTAACCAGGTCCTACAGTATTCTAACAAAATACTACAAGGCTACCATTAGCTAATAATTTAGAAGCTGATCGATTACTACATGACGAATAATAACGAATAATTTCTCAGTTTTCTTCTAAAATTATCTAAACTTACAAATCAAATTAGCATAGTATTTGTTATTGTTGTACATAGCGTTAGATATTAGCTAAGATATATGTTACATTAGCTATTTGATAGAGCTTTAAGTATGTGATTAGAATATCATCTATAGAAGTATTTGTAATATGATGATTGTATTGTAGTCTTGCAATACCGTGCATGATTATATTGTAAAAGGCGGACTGATAATTTACTACAGATAACCATATGTTGTAAAGTAAATGATAGCTGTAATAGTTAGTATATGTTAAATGCCACGACGCAAAAAGGCGAAAGGTGTAAGCTGGAATAGTTATACAGTAAATAACCGGCATTTTAATAATATAGTCAGTTACAAATCTTACTTGTGGAGTAGAACTCATTACGTAAAATATAACAGTTATCGCTAAGACATTATTGGTATCTACGCAAATACTGCAGCTTGAAAAGTCTATCTTCAGCATGCATAGAGAACGATTAAGTTTATATACGGTGTTTCAAACTTTAACTGCAATAAGCATCTAAACCTTTGTATATACGATTCAATTGTAACATAGATTTATTATGCGAGTATACCAGTACATACGCATATAGATAATTAAGACCAATGATTGATTTCAAGGATCGTTATCAATTTACCAGTGCTAATAACCATACTTGAGTAAGGATAAGTGACTATGTTATAAAATATTTTATCATTAACGTTAACTGAAGGGTCGATGCTACAATTTAAATTAAATCATAAGTTTATTTAGCCCTTCCAACATCAGAGTTAAATATGCTTTACTGTGAGATTCTCATGCCAGTAGAGAATTGTCTCAGTCCTCTTATAGAAATAATCGTTCTGGTCTACAACTTTAAAGTAAAACTCTCCTTGATGATGATAAGCACATTTTTGAGGGTACTGCTTTAAGATAACTGTACTTATTTTATTAATTAATTAATATATTTACTAGTTCATTAGACCAACAGCCATTGCGTTTACGAATGAATATCTACGTATATAAGAAAGATAATAACGCCAATGTAAGGGAAATCAAGCGGTATTGTTATTTCTCATCGTATAAGTATGTTCTGGTTATTAAGTTAATACGTAAATCTATAAAAATTGTCCAAGTTAATTATAGATCTTCTGGTATTTGAGGTATACAACTTACTCACATAAATTTCTTTAAGATAAATTTATGTATAAACATTGAAGTTTAAAATTTAAAATCTGAATACTTAAGAAATATGCGGCATAGTAATATGAATTTTTAAACATCATGTACATTAATTTAATAAATATTTAAAAGAATACGCAATATAAGCTTGATAAAAGAGAAATGCTATTATTGACGATAAGACTCTATTGCTATATGAATCCAAAAGTCATATCTTGCTGAAGAGCGGCAACCACATCTAAGTCATACTTGCAGGCCTAATACAAAATTTTATAAAAAATTATATTAGAAGTGATGTGTACAGTATTGTAAGAATAAGTAATTTATAATTATAAGGTGAATTAAAGGAGTATGTAATATTTAATATTAATATATAATCGTCTGTAACTCTTAATATGGATGTGTAAGATTTTACTATATAAAATAACATAGCCTACATCATAACCCTAAATATAGCTAATAAAGTTCGTATATGATGATGGCATGTTATGTTATTAGTGGAAACATATAAACACATGTCAATAAATAAAAGATCAATTTTTACCAGCTGTTCTTGGAGTAACTATCGTACAAAATAATAATATTAATGGATACATAACAAGTAGCAAATTTGCATCCAAAAAATGCTCGTAAAGAGTTAGCAAATCTTTAAAGTTTAAATTCCTGCTACAATATATATGTTTTATTTAGACTACGTCAAAGTTTCTACATTTTTAAATATGTTAACTATATGCGTGTATAATCTGATAAAGATTCATATTGTAATTGAGTTGGAAATAGTACTTATAGAGTTGTGATGATTTAAAATCGTACTACCTATTGATCATGTTATCTACGGCAAGATTACCTTTGAGTAGAGTTTCTTAGCCTCTGAAGTATCCCTGGTAGCCCCTAAGCCATTCTGAAGACAGCGAGCATAATAAAAGCATGACATTGCCATCCCTTTAATAATATAGCTTGGTAGGCAATCAGTGGATCTTGCTGTTTCGAAAATGCCATCGTTTGTCGTAACCCTAATTAATTTAGTAATAAGATGCTTACCACAATAATAAAACTTTGGTAATGTAGCTGAATTAGCACTCAAGCGGCTTTTCTATGATAAGCGTCTCCATTTATTTGTTCAATCGACAATTCGAAGAATACTAGATCTACAGTATAATATTATAATTCTCAGACTACACTAGACGTAGCGGATGAAATTCTGTAATAGACCTTCATTTTGTATTTAGTCTCTTTATAACTTAAAATATTAAATTACATACTGTAGTAAATCTATGCTACTATATTCAGGCAGAATATTAACGGAAAAATAAAGTTACTAAGCAATTTAAATGCTAATTGAATAATTGGTCATGAAAGCAACACGTATAAGAGAAGTTATCTTACGTTTTAGCTAATTCGACAGCTCTTTTGTATAGTTTCCTTGTATAATAATGAGCTACAAGACATCCTTGCGCGTAAACATTTCCTCTTTCGCTAGCTTGTTTAAAACAGTTGAGTGCGGCTTCAACGTTTTGCTTTGTACCTTGGCCCTTCCAATACATAGCTCCGAGTGCTCCTAACCAGAGAAAAAACTAGGTTAGGCTAAAGCTTACGAGAAATTGTCGTTATGCAACTATAGGTAAAGCCTTCCTCTATATTACCTTGACTTTCTAAACTCCCATTTGCTGTAGCTATCTTATGCCAATAAAATGCCTAGACATTAAACAAATTGAAAAAGCGCATGTAAATTTCTAGGTTTAAATGTTTGCTGTAGTATAGCAACAAAAATCGTGACTGCCTGACTACGTCGTTATTTTATATTACGAAAAACTAAAACTCAATCATGTCATATAATAATGTCATAAGATAAGGACCTTTTCAAGATCTACATTTTCTTCTTGAGAATAAAATAATCCTAAAGCAGCTTGAGCCTTAACGCTTCCTTCGTCATCTCCTTGAGCGGCTTGTATCCATAATTTCTCTGCCTTTTCATTAGATTGTTTGACTCCAAATCCTTGAAAATAGGCCCTACCAAGATTGTACTTCGCACTTGCTATTAAATTAGACATTCCTTTATTCTTTGCAGTGGCTATCTCGCGCATGTATTGTATTCCAAGTTCCTATTATGAAACAAACTCTATTAAGTCTAACTTTGCTTCCAAACAAACTCTAGTATCCAGCAAAGCTAAATTCCTTATGTCACCCGAAATTGATGGATATCGTAGGAAAATGTAATATAAAGATTGTCTTATAATCAATTCTAAAGCATATAAGTGTCTCTTCTAATCTAATAGTCTTACATAATTTTCGTCAGTTCCAATTCCATCATAATGCATAACTGCCAACAAATACTTCGCTTGATAGTCTTTATCGTGTATTCTTTCAAAAATTATCTTGGCTTCAGCATAACGTTCCTGCTCAAAATAGAAATGGCCCAGTTGAAATAGCGCCTGTGGATAATTGTGTTCGGCTCTTTCTTTCAAGTATTCTTCAACTTCATCAGTTTGTGGTTCAGAATCTGAATCATGATTGGAAAGAATGTCCGAAACGGTCTTCGTAGTAGACACTATCGGAATTGGCTCACTTCCAATTCCTTCCATACTTTACTGGTAACGATACAGTTAAGGTCTCTACACAAGCATTAATGTCGAAGAGTGTGATATTGGGCGAGTATTAGATGAAGCTGTTTCTCAAGCCCTAAAGTTGGTAAACATCAGCTTCTAGACAGACTATGGTAATATCAAATTAAAAATAAGGAAGTCAATTTAGAACTAATAATTCTATTAAAAATACAGCGCTATCACTTTGTTGTAATTATTGTTTTACTAATATCAACGGGTTACGATTGTAAAGATTAATTACTCTCATGTAGCATGTTCCCAGCTATCAATTAATTATCGTAGATATCAATATAGAAAATAGGAAATATGACGTCGGTCATCGTTACAACAAGCTGGTTACTATGGCAACCTGCAGCATAATAAGCTTCTCTAACTAATAATAATGATGCTTGTTCGCGACAGGCATATTTATGCGTATACTCTTATGAATAAGAACTGCCTGGAGAAAAATAGTAGTCGCTTTCCATAAAATAACGGAAAAAATATTGTATTGCGTTAGCAAATTTGAATTGGTTGTTAAATTTGCAATTGACATGATATCATGTATCGGTTAAATTATGGGAGATTGCAGATATTTTAACCATATATGTATTATTGCAGTAATTTAAATTAAAATTGCCTTACTTGATATAGTAAATCATTTAATTTCTAAAATTAACGATTTAAACACTCATAGCGACACTTAGATGTTTATCATAGTACATATACTTCTATGACAGATATGAATACATAATATAGCCATATTAGGGGAAATTATTGCTCTAATTGAGTGTAGATGTATTCTAAAGAATAATTAATAAATAGATGATAAAAACTTTAAACTGGAATTGCACTAAATAAAGGCCTGTACTACTAGGACTACGAACAGTTCATCTATTATACAGTATAAATAATACAATTTATTGCATGCAACAGATAACTTTGTGTAATTATATAATTATTATAAGAGTTTTTCCATTATATTTAACAATTCATAAAACGATAAATTTTGATACAATATACACGTACGTATAACTGCCCTTTGGCTGAAGCTAGAGAAGATTAAGCATGTATAATTACTTAATAATGATATACTTGTACTGTACAGTATGTACTGTGACTATATTCTTATCCTATCACTGTAATATGATAGTCAATAACAGACGATACTATTCAATGTCATATTAAGTGCTTAGTATAGTTGCATATGTTAGCTCACGTTCTTATTGTTATCACTTCACTCTGTATCACTTTTTCTATCGGGGACATACTGCCAGCTTCCCTAACGTGCAGGATAACTACGAGCATATTAATGGTAATTCTAAAATTCCTTCGTTTGCTCTTATCCTATCCCTTGTTGTACAATCCCTTATAAGCTTAAGACATCATTATAATATTCCAGCTGATACTAAACTTATAAAACTTTGCGAGATTTTTTATCTCACTTATCCTTTGTATCGGCTACTATCACTGATAATTTAGTTGAATTGAAGGCAATACTAACCCGAATGTCAGTCAATTATATTTAGTTTGCCTGCTCGTTCTAAAATACTGAATTATACTGTTATCAATTTCGCAAAAATATACAAATGTCTTCATAGCATAAAAAAAAAAATATCCGACATTACGTCAGGTTAGCAGAGGGTGGCTTTGATCCACCGACCTCTGGGTTATGGGCCCAGCACGCTTCCGCTGCGCCACTCTGCTAATGGCAACAGTTTAGGAGACTAATTTTATTTAAACACTTGATTCACTCTATTAATTTCAGAAATAAGGATGATTAAGCTTGCTTTGGATATTTTACTGATTATAAATAGAATCTTATAATAATCTCTTCTAAGCTTGATCACTTACCAATTTAGTTATTGGTATTTTGGCCAATTGGTTGAACATAAGGCACAGTAAACTACTGAATATATACTTCCGAGTTCCGACACAGCAGACAAAGAGATGAGCCATTGAGCAATCTCTTTCCGTTCCGATCTTTGGTACAGTACCGTACAGTATACAATACAAAGTACAGTAAAGTGCTGTACTGTACACTGTAACCCCTTCTGACTGGACTGTAGTTCAGTCTTGCCTGGCAGTACCATGGCAGCACAAATATATACACAGAATATTTCATCACTCGTGTCTGCGGTGGATCAGTAAATCCATTTGGAAAAGCGAAGGCCTGGTGTAGCTGCAATTCGATGAGTAGATAATTATACAGCATAATTATCGATCTTCCTATTTGGAAAGCCATAATAGCCGTCGATTGATAGCAAATGGGCTGATATATTAGATAGTAAGTACTGGGTGTGCCTTATCTTAACCGATGATGGTGTAATGTTATGAAAACTAATAGTCTCTGTTTTTACTGTTATGGTGATTAATTAATTAATCAATATATGCGTATGCGATGCAATTAATTTTCACATATTGATGGCTGATATTGGAGAGTTTGAACTTCACATTCTTAGTTGCTACACTGAGTTGAATCTAGTTTATGCTATTTTCTGCTTCACAAGATAAATAATCAGTACTTGAACTTGCTTCCACTTCGTATCAATCGTGTGTATTGTAAATTATTAACTGCTGGTTAAAAGCATGATTTGTTTTCATTTTGACATGGAAGATATCCAGTACTGAATTGGCAAGTTCAAGTAGCCGTTTATAATTAGTATACGGCAAAAGTAGCTTATGTATTTGGTTATAAAGTAAATGCCTATAATCTTTAGTTATTAACGACGCGTATAATTTCATGTAAGAATGAGAAAAAATGGCGTTATGGACTGTACAATGTACAGGGCATCGCACAGGATGTTCTCAATATAGATGGCTTGAATTTTGTGCAGTCTTTACGAAGTAGTGCAAGGCATAGCAACGGTAGTGAGACTGTACGAGCACTTTCTTAACCTGGGAACGATTAAGGATGCCTCGTCAAATATCTAGTATATCATTCTAATTGAATACGTAATTGATATTATTTTTATTTACTCACACAGACTTCCATACAGTATTCTGCAGTATTGAAATCTTGCAACCAACGCGTTATCATGGAGTTAGGCTCAGTATCTGTATCAAAAGGAAAAACCAGTGGTATTGACAAAGCTATCGAAACTTTATCCGAATCATTTCAAAAAATTACACCTTTCGAAAAATATGTCATTGCCAGTAATTACCAGCAAAGCTACTTCTACCATGTCAGAAGGACCCCAGTGCTATGCGAGGAATATCAAAAGATGCAAAATCTACGCAAGCGAAAGGCTTTCTTAACATTTAAAAAGATTTGTGCTAGCCACTTATCGATTGCTAGTAAATTCATGAGAGAATGCGAATCCATTGGCAAAAGTAGCTTGCGGTTATTATTAAAAATCGATAATTCTTTCAAGAAGAGTGACCGCAGTTGGCTTGACCAATGCCATTTCGATGTCGGTGTACTGTTATGTGAAGAAGCCAATACACATGATCATTTATGTCATATACAAGTTATTAAAGGTAAAATTAGCGAAGATCGTTGGCTGGATCATTATTTACCGCTATTGACTGACGAGTTAAAGAGTACAGAAAGTCTTTTACGAATTATTAGAAATCGTACCATTTGGTGGCTAAGAAAAGTTATTGAAATCAAATTACAAATATTAGGCTACGTTGATAGCGAAGAAGTTAGCTCTGTAAGCCTGCATTTATTATTTCAAAGCGTAGAAATGTTTAATAGATTAGTGAAAAGATATCGACGCTTTGTATCAAATGATAGCCAATATAAGACTGGTAAATTTCTACACTGGATGACTGAAATTGGTAGATCGTTTACTTTACGCGATGTCTTAAGCCTGATCATTAGTCGTAGAGCTCACCAGTGGTACGACTACTTACATAGTAATTGTAACGCTAGATTATTTGCGGAAGGAGATCGTAAAGTAATCCCCAATGATGAAAATTTTATGGTTAAAGGAATTAATAAGGAGAGATCATTCAGTGCTACGGTAGTAGCCTCTTTAGCAGCCTCAACAACGTTATTAAGGAAATATCGAAACCGCCGGCGAACAGATTCAAGCATGAGTGATTCTGGTGTCTTTAATGCTAATATTGTCAACCAAACGGAATGCTTTAATGATGCCTCTCATTCACCATTGAAAAAACAAGTCAGTTGGAGTGATATCGCGATCAAGGAAGAGGGCAAACAAGAAATCTATGACAGTTATCTGGCATTACTCTGGCAACAGCTGGTTTTATACTATCACAGCTATTGCTGTAAATTACCACTAATTCCCATTACTACAAAGAAGAAAATACTAAAAATGAATATATCACCGTTGATAATACAACCTGAAAGTACTTATAATAGACTCATAGAGATTTTACAAGTTCCTAATCAGATCGGTAAGCATCAAGTAAAAGATTTATTATCTCAATAAATTACAGCATCAAAGTAACTGCCACTAGTTCAATTAAAGCTAAATAGTAGGTGCTAAATTACAAAAGTTAAAGAGCAAATAGTGTACTTTAGACTACGATACATCGTTGATAACTTGATAAATACCTACAATTTCTAAAATGATCATTTTTTCTTTGATCATCATTCAAAGCTGGTACCAGTCTTCGAACAGCATTTCAGCTGCATGATTTGTCATTTTTCATCCATCAACTGTATATGTCATACCGATGGGATGAAGGTAGGGTACAGACCGTACAGTGCTTTTATTTCTGTTGTTAAAATTTCTGGATTACTTTCAGTCAGTTTACTGTTGCAAACTTGTATCAGAGATGTATGAGGGCTATTCGTAAATGTTTGATGTGAAAGTAATTTTTTAAATAATACTGACATATCTATGACCTTGATAGCTTATTTCCAAGCAGTTGCTGGGTCATTGGTGGATAAAAATTGTAGAAGAAATCTAGCTTCTGATGACATTAATACTCCAACGTGTAAATTGTTTCAAGTTCCTTTGAGCATCATCTTGTCAACATTAAGGACATACTTGCCGGTATAAAATCATCTGAATTCTAGAAATTACTGAAATCATTAATTGATAAGTTTTAGCTTTAAAAGTTTTTGAAGCTTAATTTCATTGAGGAAAGTTACTATTATTTGAAATAGGTTGTTTCATCCTTTATTGAATCCGATGAGACCAACGTAAACAACTATCATTCGGTTGTGCACTTCTTGAACATAATCAATCCTACTCTATGCCGCCTTGTGGCTACTATAAATTCTATTTTGATTTGGCTTCAAAGAGATGCCGGTCGATACTTTTCCAATTGGGATCTACCAAATTTAGTTGCTATTTGGAAATCTGATTTAAAAGTTATTCTTGATGACGTAAAAAGTTGCATTGATGTTGGTGAATCTCTTTGTAGCAGCATTGCAAATTACGATTATAAGAATTGGTTAACTGATCGCTGCACTTGGTTGCTATGCATTACACGAGAATATTTTGCTGCTTTACAGGTTCAATAAGTTTTGTTTATCCGTATTTAAGGTTGTCAGCAATTAGATGATTCTCAACATTAATTGCAGGCCTTCTCCAGTAAAATGGATATAAATTATAAAAATGATTGTTATAAGTTAACTTCCGAAATTTGGGAACAAGTAATGCCGAAACAGAAGAAGTGGAGACTCAGGCACATAGGTATTATTATATCTGGGAATCATTTTTTGACAGCGGCTAAAATATAATCCTATTAGATGTGGAATAATTTTAGATATGAGTGTGCGTGCATTTAACAGTTCTTTCTACATTATTCATCTTTATATGTTTTAAAATACTGCAATTTATATTTTGACGGTTATCATAATGATAGTACGACTTCGTTAAGCGTTGGACTTTTTTGTATTACCTCATTTAATTTTTCAAAATCTGTATTTCATCTCTGTATTAGACAATGTAAAGCCAAATACATATGTTGATTCTGTATTGGAGACCACGGTTAAGCCTGTAGTGCAAGGTGTGCAGAAGATTACCGACGAAAATCAGTATGATGTGATAGCTTTAACTGTGGAGGCTGTAATGAGTTCATGGACAAATTACATTCTTAAGGAAGATATAAAATTCAGGTAATTCCGTTATTTTACCTCCAGCATAATAATATACTAGTGCTGTAACTATTAATTATAATTATTAGAAACTTTTAAGGGTTTACCTTAGATATCAATAACTGTAATGCTACGTATACTTTTTAACCTAATTATGGAGAATTAGCTTATTTCACCTTCTATGTTGCAGCGTTGCTGGAGCAAAGCAGCTACAAGCCGATTTTATGTCGGTACCATACTATTTAAAGCAAGAAAATGCTGGATTGAATCCAAGTGTGCGTGCACAAATCGAACAGTTACCTTCGATTAGAATGTGCATGAGAGTAATTGAAATTCTAATGCAACAACCAGAAAAACGAGAACCGACTACAACGCTGGAGGTAGAGACAGCAAGTGGTGCTTTGAGTGGATCAGTTGCTAGCTCTGTCAGTAGTGGACAACAAGAAGGGACGAGAATACCGGCTAATGATGACAATGAGATTGATACGATAAAATGGAAGAATTTAAGAGTTGATCGTAGTCAAAATATCTTCCAGAAACATGTCAGTGGAGTCTTATGTACAAAAACTATCAACGTCGTAGATTAATTCACTACTGTATTAGCATAGAGTTCAATAATTTCAATTCATAATGGCAGTTTAGGAAAACAAAACTATGGGATACTTACATGTATACTTGGGTATATAACATATGCCATATCAATTCTCAAATGCATTGTATAATTTATTATCGAATTAAAAGAATTAGTTTATTTAAAATCGTTGGTAGTAAATTTTCTGATTTCTTAGCATGGACTGTAAATTCTTTGAATGGAAGGGATAGCCGAGTTACCCATGTTCTATGAGAATATAGTGGAAAATGTGCATACGCCCGGGTTTGCCTGCACTTTTGGCTCGGAATGCCACAGTTCGTTCTAAACTTAACTGCTATGGCTTACGATGCCATAGTTGTGGTATGATTGCATAATAACTAGCGTAAAAATCAGAACGATGTTACTGGAATTTAATATTAGATGGACAGTCGCAATGTAATAGTATAACTTTATTAGCTATGAAACTGTACAATAGTGTATCTATTGGAATCTGCGTGACTGTTCTTAAAATTCAGATATTTAACGAAATGAATGATATTCACAAGATCGCTGCTATATAAAAAAATTTCTGACTAATCGGTCTAAGTATAGGATTATGCTAGCGAATCTCCATCTTTTAATATTAGTTAGAAGGAGTTCCTTTTATAAATTGAATCTATATCAATCAATTCACCTTTCAATCGCCGCATACAGTATAGTCAAAGGTAAAAATACTTGTAAAATTGAAACATTTACTCAACATTAGCCAAGTTCGAATACTGACATATTGGTATTTGCACAGGCATACTTTCTACAGTTCTCTACCGTTTTGTATTCGACAAAATTACGGTATCATATCGAAATAATGTTTGCTCGAAGCTAGTCGTAACACGATGCTGCTGCTGTGCACCATGGTGACAAAACTAGAGCTACTTGATATGTAGCTCAAGATGGAAGTCATTTTCATTGCATGCTTCTATACTGTACATACTGTAGCAATGCAATAGCACTGATATAAAAGTTATAATAATATATCGATATCTATCTCTCCTTTAAACAATATAAAGGGCCACAATGATCGTAAGAAGTCTGTCTTGTTTTTATTTATTTATTTTATTTATTTACTATTTCATCTGGTATGGTGCTAGCGATCTGAAATGAAGTTAACATAGAAGCCAAATCCATTGTAGGTCCGATACTGTGCTGAACGAGGGACTTGATCGTATAAGAGAATTTCTCTTACAACGAAGTCCCTGGCTAAACCAAGTACTATACTACTAGTACTCTCACCGATGATTCATTATGGTTGGATTTGAGGAAGAAGTTTGCAAAGTTCTGCAGCTTCTTCCTAAGTCGAAAAGGCAGCTGCAACCATAATTGGATATATTTCGCTTACGTCTACATCCTCATACTGTGCTTGTATCGTTATCGCAAGCATGATACTGTATATAGCAGTGAGTACAGCTAAGGATTCCAATATCTTCTCCACACCATACAGTGTATATTGTAGCCTACAATACAATGTCCTGTATCTTACAGTATATTATACTGTACTTCGCTTACTGTACTTGGGTGCTGTCTAGCGACCATAGGTCGGCAGCCACTTCATACTGTACCCACTATCTGTAGGTATAGATTGGAGCTACTGACTAACAGTCGCCCTACTCTGCCTAGACTGTACAAGTGGTTGGCCGAGAAGTGAAGACGAAACTGATCGCCATTAGTCCAATTTTTTTCTTGTCTAGTCTTGACTCGGTATGTGGCGCAGGACATCATCAGCGGTACATAACATTAGGCAAGTGCCTGAAAAGTACAGAATCAAGGTAAAGTAATAGTGAGTTAGTGATGGCGATGAAATAATTTTAATTGCAGTGGATTAGTGTGTGATGATCCTTGTACTTTTTCGATCGGATTACGCGTGTGGCGTAAAAATCGGCAACGAGTTTTGTTGAGCGCCATCTTGCCTTGGCGATTGGCTATGTTATCCATGCTATTACATCATAATGATATTGTATAGGGTTATGCTTACGAGTAGTTGTAATATTCTAGTGATACAGCTTGCCATATTGGTGTTGCTTTGCTAGATAAATCGTTAGTATCAAGAACTCTCGATAGCTCCATGTAGACGTCAAGTTGCATACATAGTCGTAGGATTGATAATAATTTTGGACCATTTTAGAAATCCTTGTTTTGCCAGCATGGGTGTATTCTTATGATGGATTATTTTATTAATTACTATCTATGTTTACGTCAAGATTAACATTACCAAGGTATGCAATACACCTGGGAAACAATGCAGTCGTCATTACTGTTCATCACCTCCGTCTACTTCAAGCAGGTAAGAATTTACAGGGTACAGCTTAAATTACTATCTTTTCTACAGTAGCACTGTCAATAACGCTGAGATACAGTGAGAAGGGAATAGTTTTTGTAGTACTGGACAACTGAATAGGGTGTAGATTGCAATCAATGTATCGTCTAAAATTTCTTGGGTATTGTCATAGAAGAGTTTCCATATTTTGCATTAACAGATTGCTATACGTAGGTTTTCCTGCGAACGCTCGATCAAGTCCATATGAATTCGAGCGAGACAGGACTTCTACTTCTATAAAGATCGTTAAAAATTCTAGTTAAATCAATTCGGTATTACCGTTTAGCGGGCTATAATGTACATGTAGAATACAGTACTGTATTTGTATGGCCCGTTGCTTGTTTTTTGTGGTTTACCCTGTCATGAACTTGGCAGTGTGGTACGATAGCTCCAACAACTATTTTATTGACTAGTGCCAAACTCTCCGACTATAGTCTTATTATTAGAGAAATGATAACATGACTAATGCAAGATTTCAAAATTGCAGTAGTACTGCTGGGAAAGTTGCCATTGCTGCCGTAGCATTAGGAGTAGCTGGTACTGGATTTTCAGTTTATTATGCATCAGAATCAACAGATAATAGACGGCAAATTGAAAGTTATCTGCCCATCTCCAAAGGCGTATTGAACTTATTTCTTGGAAAACAGCCTGCATTAACTAGGTTAGTAGGATTCATTAATGAAGTAAACAACCATGCTATTGCGTCGTATCAAGATTATAATATTCAAAGGCGTGCTAACTGTTTGTCTGTTCTTCAACCAATCTTGGGTCATATATTAATGCTATAGTTCTGAAACCTTAAACGAAAGAGAATTTTCTTTTCCTATAAAGTACTCAGAATCTAGCCAGATTGACAAGGTATGGAGCGTAGGATACCGCATCTGCTGATCGATTGCGGCATACGTATCTACTCGATATTTTAAAATGTATCAAATGTTTAAAACGGTTGTACTCCCTATTAAATCCTCAATATCTTTGCAAATGTTCTGTTAACATTAATAGCTGGATATCCGACCTGAAGATGTGAAACTTAGCGAGTCTAAGACATCGTCTGTAAATACGTCTGAATTATCGACTGCGGAATCTGCAACTTCTGGTGTAAAAGATAAGGACCCTATACCTTCCATTGCTAGTTTAGAACAAGTTAAGGAAGAAATTCCTGATAAGCAAGAGCATACAGCAGTAGGAATATCGGTACCAAATAGCCAGGAGATAGGACATACCGAAAGTGCTATAAACGATAACAAAAACGCATCTGGGCAGGATACTAAACCTATCGATAAAACTAATGTCAATGACACAGTGGTAGTAGATACGGCGTCAACAATTTCAACAACGACTATCGACGAAGGTAGGCAAATTGGATTTTCATTTGAAATCTGTATATTGAGTATTTCTAATCTTGAAAGAATTACTCCTGTGTGTAACTCATTGCCATGCTTTATCTTTAGGGTTACATTCAGGAATTAGTGTAGAAAGCACTGCCAATGAAGCGAATACTGAAGAAGAAATTAATAAACTGCTAGATAGGAGCGAATTAGTACCGTTATTGGAAAAAACAATGGAAGATTTCTTACAAACTGGTAATGAAGCTTGCAATAAATTGGAACAAGTTAGCGAAGTATATCAAGAATATACAAAATCTCTTCAAGCTGCAATGCAAAAAACAGATATAGGTATCTAATATATTACAGTCAATTCTCGCGTATTATAATTGAAGTTAGCTTTTATACCAAAGAACTTTGCTGATTATATTGTGACATAGAATCTGATGACAGTAAAAATTTATGGGATAATACCAAATCATTGGCATCTAATGCTACCAGGACTGAATTAGACGCAGTTGATGTGTCAAGAAAGTTCTTTTTAATAAAGGAGAAAATACAAACTCTGTTGGATAAAAGTAGGGAATCTGATGAATTTTCTGGGGTAGAAGCATTACAGGATGACATCGTCAGGGTATATATTGCTAAACTATATTTTAGTTAATTTAAACTAACTAATTTAGTTTATTATTTCATACAGCTCCATCAAAGAGTCCAAGAAGCTAATATAAAGTTAGAAGCATCTAAAGTTGACGCCTCTATCATTAACGAATACAAAGAACAACTTGATAAGGCGAGATTAGAGTTTAAAGATTCTCTGAAAGATTCGTCATCAGACAAGGAAGAATTGGAAAGCACGAGAGATTTATCCAACTTGGAATTAAATCTTCTCGTTGCATTTACTCATCGTAGAAATGAACAGTTAACGAAAGAATTAGAACAGCAAAGAGTTTTGGAACAAAAGAGATTGAAAGAAGCTTTGATGAAAAAGGAAGAATTAACTGCTAATATAGCTGACAGTCATTACCAAATTGAGAGGGAAAAACTTAATTATGCTCACCATTTAGAAATCGAACGCAAGGTTATTACTGAATACTTTACAACTATTATCTTTCTCATACTTAATGTCACATTAACATATTACGAATATCTTTTTAAAATATAGATCATTGAGTTGCAGAATGATTTTGAAATTGATTTGCGTCGTCAGCTTCAGAGGCAGTCTGCAGCACATAGTGATCATTTGCAGCAAACATTGCAAGAACAAGCTGGAAGTCTCGAAGAAAAATGGTCACATGAAACCGCAAACCGAATTAGTGAGCTAGAAAAGAAACATCATTTGGAGTTAAAGGCTGTATTATCTCGTTTGCACGGAATTGAGCATGCCATCGTAGAAAAATCTGAATTACTACAAAAAGGCAAACAAGCTCAGGAGTTGTGGCTAGCTTGCCAGTCTCTAGATGCAGCTTTAAGTACTGACGTAACGGATAATATTACTTGTCCTCTCAAGGAGCATTTTCTTACTGTGGAAAAACTTCTTGATGATGAACCATTAGCAAATATAGTGCTGCAAATTATTCCAAAAGTTGCAATTGAGCGTGGCGTATATACTGAGGAGGGATTGATGCAACGATTTGTTCGCGTTAAGAAAATAGCCCAAAGGGTTAATCTTGTTGGTGAAGAAAGAGTCGGTTTATTGACTTATGCATTATCTTATTTTCAGTCTATACTCATGTTAAATGTCAAGCCTAATTTAGATGTTAAGGAAATTAATCCCAAAGATATGGATACTTACAAATTACTTGCGTATGCAGATCATTATCTTTTCCACGGGGAATTAGAACAAGCAGTGCGATTTGTCAATCAATTACGAGGTGAGCCGAGGCGAGTTGCAAGTGATTGGCTCCGCGAAGCGCGATTATTGTTAGAAACTCGTCAAGCTGTTAATATTATAAAGCAGTTATCTACTACATACGGAATGCGCTCCTTATAAATCAATGTTTGTGGCAAACTAGAGGATCTGAAAATATTTCTTATGATGCCTGGATTGAACTAAAGTTGTAAGATGGCTTAATGATGGAAATTAATTAGCACAACAATGTTTTTTTTATTGCTTTTTGAATATCTATAGTTGTTACCTAATATAATATTGAGCTATTTGTTTAAAGGGTAATAAAAATGTTCCATGATTTCCTTCATTACATACAAATTTTTATTGTTACGGCTTCGTGTGCTCAGCACTTACTCGTGTCTACGATAAAAGCTTAAAATTCTAACCAGAAAGCTTAGCATTTATTATGACCACTAACCAAAAGAACGTAGATTCTAACCTTAGCTAAATTTTACGGTTGTGTTAGAGTACTATTATGTTCGCTTGCTGACCTAGACTGTACGGCACGGCACTTTCTACGCTGTTAAATACGGATCTACCGAAGAAATTCTGCATGTGTACCTGGTATGTAATTTAACGAGCGGTGATAATTACAGCGGTTACGCCATTGGTTACAGACCAGACACTTCATAAATAGCGATATTCATAAGTTACTATTATCGACTGGAAGTAGGACTTATGGCATAGTCTAACAGAGTTAGTGGTGTAATGTAATGCAGCGCCAGCTTAAAATATTTAACCGGTAGCTAGAATACTCGAAGCGATTAACAATAATTTTGCAGAATTACGGCTTATTTGTAAAAAGTAGCCATTCCTGTCTAGTTCTAAAGTATATCGTAATCATGGATATATGGCTGCAGTACATAAGTTACAAGTTATTGTAATATAATAAGGGTACATTCCTATTAGGTTATAAATTAGCATCTCGTTGTGTATGCTTTTCAACACATACAGGACGAATACGAGCACAGTATTACAGTAACGTAAAATTGTTTTATCGTATTCTTAGACTTATTTGCAATAAAGCTATTGCTGTAGACTTCAAATAATACTCGTACGAATATATAATCGATTAATCGTCAACCAATCAATCAGCTATATATTAAGGGAAATGTCTACAATCTCTCTTGACATTACTACGAGCACCGTATACAGTCCAGTACGAAGGAAACCGTGACTGACTGATAACTGATCCGCTAGCCGTTCGGAGTGGTTGTAAGTTGTAATTTCAAATACATGTACGGCTTTTTCGCTAATGTCACAATGTATGTACTCTAGATACATACAGTATGTTGATCAGTAAAGTAAAAATACAAGGACTGTACATGTACAGTATAGTACGCGAAGTATAACGAACGAGTACAATAAATGTTATTAAGGTAACCACCAACAAGCCGGCGGGATTGTTTGCTAGTTCATACGTATAGTAAACCGTGCAAAAATGTATCATATACAATAATGTGCTCTTGTTGAAGCCAGGCTACCAAAGTAATTGTGTAATACTATACAGTAGATTTGAGGGCTACTAGCCCAATTAGGTCTTCCAAGAATGAAGCAACTTTTAACCTCGTTTCAGTACATAATGAATATTCCAACAAATAAAAAGAAAATAAGTACATGACACCGCAGGTCTATTGTTATAAAATTTTTATGGCCATCACCTAGTCAGAATAAATGCTATCAGGTACTTATCGTTCAGAGAACACATGAGAGTATGCATAAATATCGGTTAAGGGAATTGTAGTGTAGGAGGCAAACAATGTAAAGTAATTTTAACCAGTTGATGAATTTCGAAATTTAAGACATGGACACAATCAAACAATCAACTAAAGTGAGAGTAAATAATATGAAGAACAACAGAACTAATTCGAATATCGTAGACTCTCAAGTATACCGTTAGCATTTACCCAACATAGTTGAATAAAAATACCATTGTCATGCAGCAGTCGCAAGGCAGCTAGCGACTACATTGATTTAACAGATGATAACAAAACTCTAAAAGAAGAAAATAAGCAATGTACTGCATTTATCAAGGTACCATACACATACCTTACACCGGTTATAGACATTATTCATTATTCATATTCAATTCCACTCGATAGTGGGATAGCAAACACTAAGCAATCTTACACTTTGCTGATTATTCATATATAAGTGCAATAGTGATAAGCTGTATATATGATAAAATCTTAGTCATTCCAAACATTTAAGTCTAAAAATCAGCTAAATTCTAGTTCAGTAGGATTGGACACAGTCTTTCAATGAGAGATTTTATAGAATAAAAATTGACGTGCAGATGGGTAATATTTTACAACCTTAGAATCTGGGAAGCCATCACACGTATACCGAATTCATTTTCACGCAAACGTTAATATAAAAAGACTTATAGTTTAAGATTGTACTTAATTATAATGTTATTAAACTTACTAAGATTCTTAATACAAGGGAACATAATGATCTAGCTACAATATAGACTGCCGATCGCCGTTAATCAGTGCGTTCACGATCTCGCGGATTTTCGCGCTGTAGGATAAAAAATTTGTGCACAGAACTTATTTAAAATGTCTCATAAAAGCTGCTTAACTCTAAATAAAAAAATAATGACTCGTATTATAACAACTGTACTATACCTTTCTTGCAAACAATCGACTAAAGAATCCATTCTTCTTTTTCTTTGATCTAGTTTTTTGCTGCTTCTTTAACTCCTCCGGAGGAAGTGGTATTAAATCTGGGGTTGGAGAAAAATCTGGAGCGAAAACGTTTAACTCCTTGAAAACTTCAGTTTCTATCATCTATTCGAAAGAAGTAGATTTACATATTGTCAATGTATCATTATTATACCAACATTTCCTATGATCACCACGATGGCAGACATATGACTGTATCAATAATACTGACTTCATTTTGCCAGGGTATCGGAACACTTCCAGTAGCAAATTTTTTATAAAAGCTAGTGTCACTTTCATCCAATTGCACGCCTTTTACGGTAGAAAACTGCTCGATGTCCAGTACATCCTTAGCGTAAACAGCACGCGGCTAACAGAAATATATTTAGGCAAAAATTTAGGATCAGGAAGTGGATTCGTAAATAGAAACTGTAATCCAAAGCACAATTAGTCAAGAACTTACATCGGGCACAAAAGGTGGTTTCACCTTTAACGCCCCCAACTTCGCAAAATCAATAGATTTAAAGAATGGGTGATCATTTGGTGATTCAACTCCATCTTCGACACAACCCAAACGTTTTTTCGGATCTTTCTCCAATAACTACGGCGGGATAAAGTTAATCCAGTAGGATTTAATCAGGATAACGTAAAACAGTCAAAATTTTTTTCATGCCATTAACTATTAATATAATTTCGAATTACTTTTTCGCAGATATCTCTAAATTCTGGAGTAGCTTTTTCGGAATAGTTTTCCTTTTCTTCCTTGACGCGTCTATCGACTTCTTCTCTTTTAACTTTTTCCTTTCTAGCTCGAAATGGTGACTACGTAATTCATAGAATATGATCAAAATATACATGAAACGGATAAGTAACACGCAACATAACGTTTTAGATGTTAAGATCTTCTTAAATACTCAGTATCATAATAAAAAATATTGTTGTATGTACCCTGCCTTCAATCATTTCATAAATAATACAACCCAAGCCCCACCAGTCAGGACTAAACGTGTAGCGTTCGTTCTTTACAACTTCAGGCGCTGTATCAATTTTAAAATCAAGGAATATATTAATACTATCATGAACAGTAGTAAGATAAAAAATTTTCTCTTAATTAGTATTGATAGGTTAGGAAAATTTATATCGCAAATTCTTACCCATATAACCAACAGTGCCAACACGTCCTTTAACGGTTTCTGAGGACGGTATATGAATCGCTAAACCCAGATCGGATATTCTTACATGGCCTAAAATACGTAACAAAAAATTAATGAATTCTATCTTATGGCTAGCCAGAACAGTCTAGATGACAAATTTGTTTCTGTATTTACCTGCATCATCCAATAATATATTTTCCGGCTTCATATCTCTACAGGAAAGTAATAAATAACTCTGTGATTATTATAAGAAAACCATGAAGTAAGTCACTTTCAGCTTATAATTTATCTTTACGGATTATTATACCTGTAAACGATTCTTTCAGAGTGCAAATGCTGTAATCCAAGCAAAATTTCAGCAGCATAAAATACTGCACGATCCATTGTTAACCCGCTCTGAGCATTCATGTTATGTATATGAAATTTAAGATCACCACCACTCATGATAGTTAAAACCATGCACAAAGCGTCTTTTGTTTCATAGGCATACGCTAAATTTACCTATCATTAATATTGATGACCAAATCAGAGAACACGCAACGAAACTTTGAATATAAATGTTTAATATTAAACTCTTGCATGTATATCATAATCGCTAATACTTTCAGCGAGCGTTGCTAATCTACTTACAACAAAATTACTATTCATCTGGTATAACAGCTGTTTCTCATTTAAAGCCATAGCTTCACCTTTACGTTTCTTTACTCTCTTTTTTTCTAACTTTTTCATCGCATACATTTTACCCGTACAACGCGACTGGCATGCACAAACCTTGCAGATAAATTTCGTACATATTAATACAGAGGAACGAAAAGAGATTATAGTCTATCCTAACACGCTAATAATATTCTTTACATGTTTTACTTTGCAATTTTGTTCGCTGAATTCAGACAATATTAATTAATAAGATCAACCTACCTCGCCAAAGCCACCTTTGCCTAGCACACGATATAATCGAAAAGTTTTCTTTGTAACCGGACGACTAATTATAATTGCAAAAAATAAGGGATACATGATAAGCGCCAAGCATTGTAACCGTTAGTTGTTCAACTAGAGATTTAAACTGAAGCTGTTAATAAAACCACCAGTTTGCACATACGAATTACCCAAAACTATATGTATTCATTGATTACTAATATTTCTTACCTTTCGAGCCATTTCCACTGTATAAACCTAGAATAAAATAAACTTTTGCGGTAATCCTCAAATGGCTTTCCCCGTAAAAATTCCTTAACATGACTGAAATAACATTAATTATGGGCTTAGATCAATTGGTGATACAGTTTTTCAAAAGGTATAATTATCATCGCAACAACCTACGCAGAACTCACATATTGTAATCTTCGAACATTTCTCTGGTAGGCTTATCGTCCAATTTGGCCCTAACTTGGTGGGTCAGGTTATCGTCAATCAGCGAATCCAAATAAGTTGCTGACTGTACAAGAAAATCAACGAATTCTGGTAAGTACGTATATATTATTTGATACAACACACGAGAGCATCTAGTAGGATCAAAACACTAGAACTTAATTATTCTGCATCTACTATATTTGTGATTTTCAGTTACTACTTCCTAGTTGTTATCTGAATTTCCATTATTCTCTCAATTTTGAAATAAATTGATATTAAGTGCTTTATAGCAGAATAATAAGTATAATATTGTTTTATATACTATATATTTATGTTGTTCATTCTGGACGTTATGCACAGGATAAAGGGCACCAGATATATCGTCTAAAGTGTGTACCACTACTAGTGATAGGTAGAAAATTCGCTGTACGTTAACGAAAATAAAATATCTCGCGTAAATTCTTATACAGGCTTTCTAAACAAAATGAAGTATATTGATACAATGCAATGACACAAAATTAAAATCCATTCTTAGATTTGCTAAAATACTTACAGCAGTGATAATTATAATCACTACATCCATGTTGAGGTACAATTTATACGTCGCATGCGTATATACACAGTACAGACATTGCAAGGCGATTGTTTTATAGGACGAGTAAAAGATTATTGTTATTGTAAAGCACTGTATAATAAGACATTGGAATCCATGGTCTAAAAGTCTTAAGGCGTTTAGAAACTACAATGAACATATATTTAATCATGGAATCTGAACGGAACGAGATAAAAAATAATATAGTAAAATAACCAAAATAATGTGCTTGACCATACAAAATGAAATATACTCGTAAATTATGCTCGAGATAGGCTGAGTAAGAGATAATCCAATATTTTTTTTAGGTACGGCATTAACATTGAAACGTCATTAGGTCAGTGCCGAAGCACAATAAGAATATTAGTCATTTTTCTGGAGTGAGTTCATACTTGAAGTACTGTATAGGATGTTTATAAAGTATAATGGTATCATACCAGAATCTGGTTTATAAGCTGTTCCAAATGACTAGTAATAAATCAACAAACTGACAGTTTGCAGAATAGTCCGTAAATAAATACAACATCAGATACCGCCTCGAGTACCAACATGCATAGGTGTTTAATACTAGCGAGCAATGCACTTATCTGAGTTCTTTAATCTCATATAGTAATTACACTCGCTATGTAGTGACATAATTTATTAAGGGATAATGTATTATAATAACTGTAATCCTGTAAAACGCCAGGTTGCGCTAAATCAAATTACAAACACTTAGCTAGTATAAATCTACAATGGCACTAAAGTTATTATTAGAACTCAGCTTACCGAATCTACCAAAAACTTGTTGAAAATGTCATTTGATAAGTTGATAATATCTTCTTCATCAGCAATTTCTAATTCGGACTTGAATTAAAAACGATACGAATTACAAATAAATAAACCATATGCTTCTATAGAAATAGCAATTATTAACAGAGAAATCTTAATTTACAACGTAGAGTACAGTAGCAAGCACGTTACCGACAACTAGTAGAACAGAATCACATGTAATTTAGTAATTACAAATTGCATTACTACAGCAAAGATAATTATTTTTAAGTAAATACTACAACCTTTGCAGGTTGTCGTAACCATTTCGTTTAAAATTTATAGCAAATATTAAAATTATTATAAGTAGATCGCATGTAATTTAGTATTTACAAATTGCATTACTACAGCACAGAGAATTATTTTTCAGTAAATACTACAACCTTTGCAGGTTGTCGTAGCCGTGTCGTTTGAAATTTATAGCAAATATTAAAATTATTAAAAGTAGTACAGGATAGCATATGATAGGCAAAAATTATCACTATACACCTGAATTCTAAAGATCCTAAACTATAATTCTGATTAACATGTATAATTAAAATTGTAGTGAATAATCTACTTACTACAGCAGTACGGAAATCGATGCACTTTTTTAATAAATTATCCGTTCCACAAAATTGTTCAAAAACGATTTTACCAATAGGTTGCTTGATACACATTGAGTCAAAGTCGAACACTAAATCAATGATAAAGTAAAATTCAACATTATACTCATAGCTTGACACATATCCTCAACAGGTATAAGCAATATAAATATCATGGCAAAATGATACTATATGTATTCCGTGAGTAAGTTACAAAAGATAAAGCGTCATTGGTCTTACACTAAGCAGTACTGTCACTACAGTGTGATCACTGGAAACTATCGTCGTAAATATGTCCAAACATCAGCACTGATTCATCGATCGGTACTAATACTATTTCTAGTTGTAGTCCATTGGAGTAGACGATAAGGGTGATACTAGTTTTGATAGGATATTTTGCAGCGATGTCGAGTACAGAATTGTATAGTAGAGGGTTATTTTAGTCTTGTAGCACAGTAGATAAAGCATTACCTACAGCAACATTACCTTTCGTTTTTAATTCTAGATAACTAAAGCAGTAATATTGAAAGTACTCGACCGAAACGAAAAAAGCTCATAGGGTACTTTGAGAGAGAAATGTACAGTCAGAATTGGTCTCTGAAGCATTGTAAATCAAACTTACAGATGCTGTTACGTATATCTTCGCACTCAGCAATATTTGGAAATTTTAGCATGCTCCGCCATTTTTTACTTCTACCTTTCCTCTTGCCACCGGCCCCTGAAATTAATGAAAAAAAAAAACAATTGCTTAGTATCGAGCATATAGTGGTAATATCGTCTGGTGTACAACATCCATAACTTTAATGTTAGCGATTGCATGCAATATGAACCAGTTGGTTATTCATTGGTTACGATACTCGAGAGCAACGTAATACACTACAGCTGCAGCATACAAAACAAACCAGCCTAAATTCATGCTACGTACAGTAAACGGTAGTATTTCGTTGAAATCGCTATTGCATAAAAGTGCGCTTCATTTCAATTACTAAAATTGTGATATTCATTATACTAGCAATTGATGAAAACTTTTGATGGAAAAAATCAGTTCAACGAACTACAGAACGTACTGTACTGTATACAGATATTCTGTGCATTGTACAGTACATTACACTATGGCAATAGAGTGGCAAAGTTCAATCCAAATTTTAAGCGACTTTAACGTAAATTGAATAAAATTCAATTAATTGATTAATATACTCGGCACGACATCTTTGGTCAAAAACAGAAATACAGTACTGTCAATACTACCAAGTGTAAAATTACAGCTGTATTGTACACTCATAAGTACAATGCATACACAGTCTAGTACGCGACGCGACGTAACTCATCGGTACTGTCAGTGCACCGTCAACGGTACTCCTGTACAGTTGCGTATCTCACTGTTATTTTCTTTCACCAGTCATGAATTTTCCTCTTGTTTTATTCATAGCAGTCCAGTCTGTTACAGTAAATTAGTAATATATTGTAAAGTTCTGTAGAGTACTCAATCATATCGTGAATTTTCCTCTTGTTTTATTCATAGCAGTCCAGTCTGTCACAGTAAATTAGTAATATATTGTAAAGTACTGTAGAGTACTCAGTCCTATCGTGGTATAACGCAATATTGCGGCCTATCATAGTGTGGACACACTCAGCAGGGTACCATTTTGTGCACATGTTACTTCTGTACAGTGCAATATTGCAAAAGATGGTTTTTAACATAGAGATCAAAGAAAAAATCCAGCGCTTTGATACTGTACCTTGATGATTTAGACTATTGTATTGTACTGTACTGTACAGTACTAAAGTACAGTGTACAGTACTGTAAGACAACGCCTACGGTACTGTATCCTTAGTAGGGTTTTGTATGACAAGTTTAGCATCGCCAATACAAAGTCAACTAGAGTCAACCAACTCTGTACAGTAGACGCCACTCCTAGCCTTCAATAAAACACAAAAGCAAAGCAGGTCATCCACGGCGAACTGACGCTTTACTTAAGAGTGGAAACGTTTTTAATTCTTCTTACTGCCATTCTGCAATGTACGTCCAGTACCAGTACCCGTACTAGGTAACTGTATGAAGATTAATTAATGACAATTCTACACAGCGTTCTAGTCTAAACAAGTCAAGTAAAATACGTACTGTACTGTACAACAACGATACTAGAGTAAGTTGAAAAATGATACTGTGCTACCAATTCGGCGACGCTTTTCACTGACGGTAATTTAATAGAAGCGTAGTCGATTCACTGATAAAAAAGTACCATTCAAAGCAATTAAAAGCACAGGACTTCTGAATTGCATCTTGTCAAGTAAACTTATCACACCTAAGATAGGATCGTTCAGCTCTCGATACGTTATAGTCAAACGACGTCGATATTGAAATTTTCGGGTAATTGAATCATTAGTTATAGAATCAAATAATATCGGAACATAGGGGTGAATCATGGGCTAAGATGAACATGAAGATGGCACAGCATGAACCAATTTTATATTACTACGATACCATCATATTCGTATATCGATCAACGCGTAGGTGCATTTTACAACCATAGACTACGTTGGCTACGATAGCACTTTCATACTACATCCTAATCACTCGTTGTGTTTAGAATAAATGGTCTGGGGACGGCGACCATGCATGTACAATTGTACATGTTACCAGCGTAGCTATTATACTATAGTACAGTATAGTACAACATGATTAATTTTGTACAAGCAGTCTGCAACTTTTACCCGATCCAATCAGATCAACAATATCGATTATTCTAAATATTATTAAAGACCAAATATAAAGCGAACTGGACAGTAATGTATGTTGCATCCTTTAGACTTGGCATGAAATATTAGTCAGACCTAACTTTCAGAATTATCCCATTAAGTTGATGTTAGTAATTGTGGCTATCGTCAACTGATTCAATTTTAATACTGCACATCAACTGGGGCTGCAGCTGCACTTTTCCACTCGCATGATATCCAGTAAACCATGGATGAGACGACACACAGTACTGCCAACCAACGACTTACGCTATAAATAGCTAAGAAATGATACCGTGCAACTATGTGTAGAAGCACATTTTACATACAATACTAATTATGCGGAGTAGGAGTTGAATAGTAACGCATTATGGCAAAGCTTAGAAGTATCAAGAATTGTCGATATCTACAAAACGCCATTTGTTGTTCATTGCATCAAAGAAGAATCATTTTCCACATTTACTGTACGCACTGTACAGTACAGTCAGTACTGTATGTAGATTGTACAGTACAGTATGCGTTGAAGTACAGTATTGTATTTGACAAGAATTGGCATACAAATTAAAAAAAGTTGAAAGAAAAATGAAACATTCTCTACTTTACTGATGCCATACCTTCGCGGGCTTTGATGTATACAGTGTTGGCCACGATATTTTCCAATTCCATACTGACTAATAGCTTTAAATATAGTCAGTTACCAGATAGAAGATTTTAAGAAAGTCTATAAAAAGGAATCGGTGAGGCAACAGGATCAAGGTGACTGCAGAACACCGCCTTCAGTGGATAACTGTACTGTACTTGCGGTGCACAAAGTGATCGCTACAGTAACTACAATGCACGCTCCTAACGGAAATAAATACTAAAATACTGTAAATTAAAAAATGAACTATGTACTAGTGTGCAATTTGTAGGGAAGTTGAATCAAATTCTGTCTGATACTTTGAAAGTATTAAAGCAAACCTACGGTTAACTTACACATAAACCTTTACAGGTTTACAGTAATGGCTCACAGGCACACAAACCTCCAGACTGCGAACTACTGTACTGTAAAGAGTCGTAAGATAACAATGATAAGATATGGGCGACGCAACGCTAAAATACTGTACTGTACAAGTGTACATACAGTATTGTAGATAGCCGTATGTAAGCAATTAGTCTAGCTAACCGATTTGTACTGCACAATATAGTACTGTATAAATCGCTGCACTCACTCGGGAGACCCTAATACTGTACTGTAACACAATGATCTTGAAGTACTGTACAGTACAATATCAGTGTACAGTACTGTACTGTATGTAGAGTACACTGTACAGTACTGTACTGTAGACCCCGCCACTTGACAGTTATTCTTAATGTACTGTACTGTACTGTACATTGTACAGTACAGTATAGTACAGTACAATACAGTAGTGTACAGTACTAATAAGAGCTTTCTTCTACAGTACCCAGTATGAAGAACTTTCTTGCAAAGTGTACCTGTATGGCTGTATCAGCTCAGTGGAAAACAATGAAAAATATCAAAAACACTTCACGCACAGTTGATGACTTGACTAGTCTACAGTACTGTACAGTACTGTACGTTTTTCATGCTACAGTACTGTACACTGTAGAGGACTACAGTACTGTAAACTGACACTTTTGAAATTAGTCTGCGGTACAATGTACTGTACTTTACAGTGTACAGTACTGTATAGGACATACAGTACAGTACAGTACTGTACAGTACAGTACTACTACCAACTACAGTACGAGCGGTAGTCGACAGTACAGTACAGTACACGGTACACGCTCTGTGCAGTCCTATCCAAAGTAACCTTTTTTATCCAATAGTGCTCGATATTGTATCGAGTACGTTATCGGATCACCCAACTTGACAGTTTGCCTCTTGGTGATTCATGGTCACTGTGAATATTCTATCTATAATATTTGTCCTGAATGCACAACGCATTAATCTAGTTACAGTACTGTACAACTGGTTACTCTCCTTTAACGATAATAAATCTTTCTACTACATGTCATAATGTAGTCTTTGATTGTTGTCGTCGCGAGAACAATTCCACTATCAAAAATGGATTAATGAAAGTTTCAACGTCAGATATCGTTGAATCTTGATCGTACAGTATCATCAACGAGTTGCGAGTGAGCTAGTTTCCACTAGTACTGTATTTAGAGTATAATTAATTAATGAAACCATGGAAAATATCTTATACTGCAAGCAATCAACTAATCTGCAACTACTCGACTACACCTCTTTTTGATTGAGCCGTATGTTATGTTGCTCCAGGCATCATTGCTAATTTATTACTTCTACCGTACCGTACGTCAGATGGAAACTGAAGTTATCTAGACCTACTTTAAGCTACGAATTGATCTAAAAAGTTACCAACGACAACACATGCTCGTTATGCATCATATTCAATGACCGCACCCTAAAATATCATCATTTTAACTGAAATAAACAGTAATTATTTATTTAAATTACTTTAAATTATACCTGCTACGGTATATGATGAGACGAAAGTCACAAAATGCATCCGTTAAATCGAGACTACCCTGTCATTGTTTTCATCCGTGGAGTTAATCTATTTACTATACACTACTGTGTTGCAATATATTATTTGAATACGGTACTGCGGTATCAGTACAATGCAGTATATGCAAATGCACGCAAGTCAAAACAGTTCAACATCGTAGTAAATGAAGCTGCGATAATAATTATTATTCTACGGAGACTCGAGATTGATTTATTTATTTACTTATTCTGCTTTACAGCATTTATAGCCTAACCCGGTATTACGATATGACTTGTAAAATGGTTGGAGCGACCGAACATGTAACAGCGACCGATAGTTTGTATTAGAAACTGGAAAGAAATACAATTATTCAATTCAAAATATCAAGAGCCAATTGCTCAAGGTTGTACTAATCTGTCTACATGAAATTGGAGCCAAATTGAGAAGTCCATTTCTTCACAATTTCAAGACATAATTTAAGGCAACACTATAGCAGAATATCTTTCAACCATTTTAGAGGACTTGCCACGCCCCTGTAATAGTGGTCTACACAGTATAATTATGTTGTAAGAGACTATAGAGACTCCACTCCGTTGCCCGCCTATAGCGTTTGACGTCATACTGATACTGTACAGTATAGTAGAAATCAATTGAAATTTGTTTTTTTTTGTGTGTGCAAATAACAGAATTCAGTACCACGGCAGGACGTCGAAATACACTAAAGTATGCAGTAACTGTATCACTACTATTGGATTTCAGTGTCTAGAGCTGTCAATACAGTGTCAATGAAATTATAATACTGTAGAATTGATATTATTTTCATGGAAATTTATGCCCCATATTTTTGACTGACAAAAAAATATCGTATTTTACAACAATATTCTGTACACAGTACAACTGCAGACAAGTGTAAAATAAATAAAAAAGAAGAAAAAGTTTGTATCATCAACACCACTAATGTACTGCACATTAACATTGCATAACCTTTGTACTGTACTGTAGTGAGAGTTGCCGATACGAAACAAACCGACCCATTCATGATAACCTCAAGACATTTTTGGTATCTCGAATGGAGTACGAAACATATCAATTTGAATTAAAACCAGACGATGATATTTCATCCCGATAAGCTTTAGCCTGTTGTAGATTTCTTTCGATGGAAAGTAGGAAATTATCTATTAATTAAGTGATAGTACTACTATACTTTAAAGAGGTGCGTTCACATACTATAAGTGATAATGCATATTATCCAACTGTACTGTAACATACAAAGTAATCAATATCACGCTAAATGGAATTTATGATGAAAACATTACAACAATAATTGTCTGAAATTAAAAACTTCAAATGTCCAAGTCTGCCGCTGAAGGAGGCTTTTGTTAAAAATTAATGAAAACATTTCTACAACTTTGACTCGTTTTCAATGCTTTTCTCTAAGCTTATTAGTAAATTGAATACAGGAGTAACAGGACTAGAGATGTCTGAGTACGATATTAATTACGGCGATATTGTTTATTGTTCCAGTTATGAAACGGGCGCATGGATTTTAGACTATAAAATTATTATGATGGTTTTTGTTATAGAAGAGGTAGATAAAATACTTTGCTTAAGCTTGTATTTAAGAGAATATTTATTTGATATTTTCTAGCTTTTTTTATATTAGTTAACTTTTTAAGATAGAGTTTAAGGAAAGAATTTCATGCATTTGGGCATGATTATTCCTATACAAATTAGAGGCAAGAGTAAAATGTATTACAACAATAACTATATTAATAGACGTAAAATTTTTGTGTTTGCTAACACATTCTTTATCGCACCTGACTACTTTGATTGTATGATCTCATCATAATATTTGTTTTGCGTCTTTGTTTAGTAAAACAATTAATTACGGTATATATATAATTAATTTTATGTGCATGACTGGGGTACATGTTACACGAATGCATCAAGCTTTTATTTCTTCCGGTATTCACTTGCTCAATATATCAGTAGCACTGTGTTCAAGCATTACAAGCTCCACTTTGGAGTGTTAAATATATGCCGATTCGATAAATTATTATGCTGTAGTTCAGACTCTACTGTTATTACACTATTGTGTTGTATAGTAAATTGCAATTAATTTTGCAAATTCTTTCTTCTTTGATATCACGTTATTATGGGTATTGTTCATTTTGGTAGGAACTAGGAACCGATAGTCGTGAAAACGTTCAATCTGACATTACCTATTATTATGGATATTTCAACACAGTAAACCATTATATCGGCACCTCTGTGTCACACCTACTGTTAACACGCAGTTGGAGCAAATATATCCCAACTTATAAAAGTGCTATGATTTGAGCTACTAAGGCATCCATCCAATTGCAAAGTTGTATTAGCGTATACTGGCTTTAAATATAGAAATGTTATAAATTGAACTTGGCAACTAATAAAAGTTATTAAATATTCTATCTTGAGACGAAAATTTGTCAAATATTATACGAGTACTACAATCCATATACTGTACACGTTCAGTGTAAAAGAGCCAACTATGACCAATATGAAACCTTAGATGATACAACAATATAATACATTATATCAAAAATATAAATTTTAGATATCGTTCTCGATTCTTTTCATAATTTAAAATTTTTCATAGATTATAATTATGACATGCAAAGGATTAATTATTATTCTTAAAAGGATGTATTGTTTCTACTAACGTCTTATTAAATACCGCAGTTTTAGTAAACTTTATAATATGTTGAACTCTTCAACATGAAGTCTTTCTTGATTATAAATATTTGAATAAATAACTAAAATTAGATAGTTTATTGCATAAATGATATGTCAAAAATTGAAGTCATATTTCAATAATAATCAAACCAAAAAACTCATCACTTTGGATCATATTTTATAAGCCTTACGATGCTGAGATATTGTACATTGTAATTATTACAATGCAGCTTAAGGCAATGTTCAATAAGAAGCAGCTGCAAGTACAACATTAGTATCGTAATAGTTAACCGTACAGGTATTGTGCAAAGCCTTTACAATATAGTATTGATAATACACACGTAGGCTATGATAAAAAGATAATACAGCAAGAATATTTTCCAATGAAATACTCTATAAACGAAATAATTAATCTTTTGCCGCCTACGTTATGGGTGTCAGGAACCGGCACGATTTTATGACGTCAAGTGAAGCAAACATTGCAGTATTGAGTAACTTATACAAATTGCAAATAAAGCAATAACAAAACTATGACTACTTTGACTACTTTTAATTTCGACTTAACTCATTACTGTTAATAAAGGAGTGGTCTCTTATTTATTAACTCCAGATAGTGAAGTAGATACTGAATCAATCGTACGAGCAAATTTTAGTTTCTCCCGTTATAAAGATAGGCAGTCAATGTTCACGTAAGATTTTATAATAAAGATTTGATCACTATTTATAATTGTATTTATCCTTCCTCTATAATATCTTTCAAGACCTATACGCAGCTAGTTATCTATATTTAACACTTATTGACGTAATGAGAATGAGAACAAGCCAGTGCAAATTATGGTAAAGGGTATATCTTTATTATCTTGCTATTAAGTTTGTCTACTCTACTATGCAGTTTCGCCCATTAAATTGTGTAACAGAAATTTTAATATGTATAAGGTGGCGAAGTATCGTATAACAATATATTATATGGGCATTAGCAATTCTTCCACTGAAGTCATTTGTCTCCATTAAACAGATTTTTATTAGTTCAAGACGATTTCTATTGGTATTATCCTTCCTTTATCGAATTTTATGTTAGGCATTTACTAGTTTATCAATTGTTATGATCGGCAATAGTGAGTGTTAAGTCGAATTCGATAAAATAGTATGGTAGATAGGCTACAGCTATTTATGTTTTAATACATAGAATTGTGATTTCAAATAGATTAAAATGTAAAATTCGGGGAAATTTTCGATTCGTTGTGACAAGATCTAGACTTAGATAATATCTTGCTCTTATAATTTACTAATTTAATGGCGTTTTGTCTCATTTGGCTCTCTCGCTTCATTGTGACAGCTAAAAGTAGATTATTAAACTCGTAAATAAATGAATAAATGGCCTGTATATACAGCATGAATACATTTGTACGTTATGTTCTTATGTGTACACACTATATTGTAGATTCAGTATACAATGGATTGCGTCATTTATTGTTAACATAATCGATGAGCCTTACATGAAATAAGGAACAGCTGTTTAGGGACAATAACGATTGATTTTTAACTTCAGTATTATACCGATTTTTGTTTGTTATTGTTACTTACGTCCACAGACTAGTCAGTTTTATGTTATGTTCGAAATAAATGAGGGCCTACTAGCTGAAAAAATGCAGAATTAAGCAATGTCTCTTTATTATACGAGTACCTTCTCTAAGTTATTAATTTCAACTGCACCGTTTAGCAATTGAAATAAGCCCCCAAAACCTGACAAAGACATAAGTAATGTTCATATTCAATAAGGAGTAGGACAGCTAAATGATTATAGATATTATTCTTCTGGCTAACATCTATGTACTTAATGTATTGTATACAATCTACATGTGCATATCATATATATATGTAAATTAGTAATTTAAAACTATTTCCAAAGGATTGTGATTTGGATTGTTTTATAACTTATAGATGCTACGATAGCAGTGCAATGCTATCTTCGATTAAACTTCTACGCTAGAAGAATTCATGATGATGCTATCTAATTGGCTGAGGTAACCAAGCCTTTCATGCATTTAACAACTATCTTCTAGGTAAAAACAGTTAGCCAATGTAGTATAGGTAGACTATTGTCCGCTTTCTTAATTTAAACATTTGTCCTCAATATATTAAAACAATCAATTATGAAAGTGAATTACACTTATTTCTATTTTTACATTGTAGTCGCTTTTAGTAGTAAACTGTTACGACGCTGATTTGAGAAGTTAGATGGGAATAATTCAGTAATCACTAATAGATATGCAAAATGTTATCCCTATCTACTATTTGATTTCTTACATTAAAATGATGAAAAAGAGTAAAATTTCGTAGATTATGATGAGGTGATATGAAGTAAAACCTTTGAAGTACACGAAGTACTCTACTATGCGTATACCTTTAATTTATATACTTTAATACTAAAAAATTAGAATTTGCGCGTATTGATTGGTGTCATCTTAGTGTCTTATTAGACTACACATAAGAGCCGAGTTTGGAAAAGCTGATAAAGGAATATCTTAATATTCTGTTAAAATTAAATTTAGGTAGATATATGAGCGCTATTAATACAGTATAGCAATCAATAAATTTTGCACTTGGCTATTGCCATATTTTCATTAACTATTAGCAATACTCCTTTCATTATCTTTGGAAGCGTTGAATTTAATTTATCTCTATGTGTGTGGATAGTACTTGACTCTATAAGAGAGTTAGTTACTGAATGCCTTTGAATGCTAAGACAAACTTTCTTTACCCAAAGTAGAAAGACTCTTCTATAAATAAATTGTATTGTCCTAAGATATCCTTCATGGGGTAAATTGATTTACAAACCGAATACTGTCTACTATTAACAAAAATTTAACAGTATATTAATTGAAGCTAGCCTCGACGCTGAATTTTGACTATTTGGAACTTCAAAACTTATATTTCAATGATAAGATTATAAAGAAAATTTGCAACATCCTACGAGATATAAACTGAATATACCTCAGTAGTGCAATTTTATGTTTCATTATAAATACTCTGTAATCCCTACAACAAATGCTATAAGTCATCGTATAGGTTGTGCAATTACTGTAAATAAATAAGGTCATACTGTGTTAATGCATCACAACCCACACAGAGTGGGCAATTTTGAGAGCGATGATTCGCCCACAAAATACTCTATTTTAATCCCTTGAGGCTTTACAAATAGGTGTGATCATTTTTTTAAAGCTGTTTACCTGCTTACAAGTAATAAGGTAAGTATAACAAGTAGGTTTTTGAACTTAATACATTATATCGTTGATATAATATCTGTTAATTAGATATTGGTGATGAATATTTTGTGCTATAATAATTCAATAGCTTAAGCTAAACACAACAGGTAACACAAAAATACCCCTATATTCTAATCATTCGTAGTATACTCTTACTACTACTGTATTCTCTATTCGAACAATGTAGCGTGCAATAAATATTGTACCGGATGAATTAAAGTGCTATACCGCATAATATCTAGGCAACTAAAAGAAAAGAGGGTGACTTTTCTTTTAGTATTCCCTGATAATACTGTATTATCAATTCATACATTAATAGTAACTATCGTGTTGTTCATACATGTTCAACCTTGAATGGATTATGCAAAATAAAAATCCCCAAATCGTGTGTAATTTTTGGAGTACAGTACTCTTTACGTCACTGTAAAACCCTATTACATATGTTTACAACGGTCCAGATTAAACAATTTTTTTCAACATATTTCAATCAAGAGGACTATCATGAATACGGTGAGGTTATGACTTGAAGTATGGTGATCTATGCATCAATATGATGCAAGTACATACTGTACGTACAATAGTACATTAGACGAAGCCACTTTTGAATTTCCATATTAAATTTTTCGTACACCTCGCTGAAGCTACTTTGTCGATATATACCATATCGTATACGTTGCCCGTAACAGCTATGAAAACTGACATAAAATTGGTTATTCCGTTGATAGAATTACATATATAAATAGAAGTTGTATTCAGTAAAATACTGTATCTTCGAGTAGTCCTGTATATGATAGAGTTGATCTAATAGCGCTTTATGAAATTATTTGGATATCAGAGATATTTGCGGTACTTTCTATTTCCTATGTTATACACTTGTTATTACATATTGTACAGCACTACAGTCCTATGACCATCAATATAGAGACAGACAGTTGCTGTATCGGGATAGTTTATCCTATCACTTTTGTAGTCCTAAATAAATCATGTTGTCCGAGTTTTATGCTAACAATTTAAGTATTACCAAAGATAGAATACAAATCAATTTGTTGCAGGGGCAATATCTAATGATGATCACCAAAGGCCTCACTGTCCGAGTGTCCGGAATCGTAGTCGTTCTTGATCATGATACATACAGTACAGTACACTTAAGAACAGTACTGTACAGTATAGTAGAACAGTACAGTACAGGGTACAGTACACTTAAGTACTGTAGTACTGTACAGTACTGTACTGCATGTTGTACTGTACTGTACAGTACAGTATTAACTCTACAGTACAGTACAGTACAGTACAGTTCAGTAATACTGTACTGTACTGTACTGCACAGTGTACAGTGTACAGTATGTTATGTACAGTACAGTACTGTAGATCATTCACAAATGGGGATATAACGGTCAGTGATACTTTCATCATTTATGGACTTAAGAGCAAGTTTAACTTTCTAACTTTACCAGATTCAGATATTTCAGAATCTCTCCATCAACCTCATATATCATTCTATTATAGCTTTACTGTATTTTTAAAGAAAAATATGGCCCGAAAGTGACAAAATGTTATGAAACTGTACAGTGTACAGTACAGTAAAATCGAACACTGCACTGTAACTTACTGTATGGTACTGTACTGTACACTGTACACGGCGTCACATCAAATGATTCAAGCCCCGTCGATGAATTTGGGGCCCTTATGATCCTGCTACCTACTCTTCGTTGAGGTTGCCTATTTTATAAGCTAAACTAAGCAGGTGATTGCAGCCACTGGACTGGAAAGGTATATTAAAGCACTTAAAATTTGCAATATGAATAATACTAAAAATGGTCAGTTACTGCGAACGTTGCGATCGTTCATGGCCAATATGAAGCATGTTCCTCATCCACTACAAGCTTATATTATACCAACTAATGATGCCCATCAGGTAATACCGTAATCACAATGATGATCATAAACATCAACATTCATTAATTAAGGATAAGATAAGATGAAATCTTATCTGCTCTTATTTTTTATCCGATTCTAGTTATAGTACGCTACACTGCATTATAGTGATAAACCCTAATGTACCTAAAGGCGTATTATCGAATCTGCATGGCTCACATGCGTCAATGTATAAAGTAGTAGGATTAGAAACTGCGTCCAGTCTTTCCTACGTTACTGATAGTTGATTGATTTGTAATGATACAGCCGTATAACTTAATTGTACACAATGTTATCAATAAATCGAAAACCCTTACAGCTGCTACCAGTGTCCAACTGCAATATAGGATTGTAATGACTGTGAATTTGTACCGGCATAACGGTGTGAAATGACATGTATTGTTGATGATGGTATACTTTTACTACGAATCCTAATATCTTTTATCAACAATTATTTGTTTGCAGAGTGAATACTTAGCTAATAGGGATAAGAGACGTGAATTTATATCTGGATTTACCGGTTCTTTTGGTAAAATTAGATATTACAGATGATAGTTAATTCATTAATATTGTAAATTGCTTTGAATTATGAGGCACTGAATTGGCCTTGTTTATCTGTTTAACAAGCTGACAGCTCTGCTATATTTACAGGTAATGCCATTGTCACTCGCGATAAAGCTGCATTATGGACTGACGGTAGATACTATCTGCAAGCTACTGAGCAGTTGGACGATAACTGGACCTTAATGAAACAAGGTATAAGGTCTTTTGTTTTAACCCTTAACATAGGCTAAGCCAAGCACTAGATAACCACATTCGTTATTATGCCTAACTATGATACTATGCAAAAAAATTTCCTCAAAATTGGCCTGTTGCAGTCTGGTTTTATTATTGGTAAGATAAAATTTAACGTTATCATCATATTAATTTCTGGTAAAATCTAGGACTAGCAGATACCTTATCAATGGAGGACTGGCTTATTCAAGTAATTTATTTATTGTTAGTCTAAATACATACTATACGTATGCTATGATGATATCGTATTCCGCTATGAAGTGCATAGTTCCCGCTTTATGCATTTGAAGTAACGTGGATATTATGCCATCATTGTGTAGTGAAAATGATAAATTGCCGTATATTGCTTAACTTTATTAAATATCCGAAAATAGCCGATAGATATCAGTAGTGGTACTATCTCGATAGTTATTAATACTCTATTACTGATTCAATCCGCATTATCATTAATTGTAGATTCTTCCCAAAGAGTCATACGTTGGCGTAGATCCCTTCTTATTTACACATGGTTAACAGGAATATTAATGAAACAATGCTAAATTTTCTAAAAATTTTCATTATTTGTATAGAAAAACGTGAATAAATAATTTATTTATTTTCTGTCCGCTATTTTTGCACCTCTAATTGCCTTCAATGGTTACAGAATTATGGAAGAGCTATTCACAGGTAATAAACGTCATACTTAAATGCTACACGAAAATTGTGCTGTGTATAGCGTTAAAGTTATTGAATATATTTAACTTTTGATTTTATGTTTAGAAATTAAGCGATGCTGGATTGTCCCTAGTCGCTGTTCAAGATAATTTAGTAGATCTAGTATGGACCTCTTATGATCGATCTGAAGTACCGTTATCGCCTTTAATGATACTCCCTCTAAAATATAGCGGTAATATATGCGTATATCCTCTCTTTCTAACTCTTTCCTTGAAAGCCATTATTATTACACTTTGGTATAGCGTAATCAATGCATTAATATCTAGGCAAGAGTGTTGGAGACAAACTAAAGGACATCAGGGATAAAATGTCGACTGCTAATTGTGATGCGTTGGTCATCTCGGCACTTGATGAAGTTGCTTGTACGTTAGTAATGTAGAGGCCATGATATGTAGACGACATATTACCATACAATCTGCAATCTCCTGAAGTATCAAACTTTTATCTGAATAGGGCTTTTGAATATTAGAGGCGCCGATATTGAATATAATCCTGTCTTCTTTGCTTATGCGATTGTAACTGCTAACTGTTTATAGTAAGTACTGCATTTATACCCGTACCAATTTACTTATATATTGCCGTTTAAACAGTGTAAGCTTAAATATAATAAAATGATAATTAGAATATAACCATTATTTATAGCGTTTTTACCTCACTGGAGAGAATTACATCAGAAATTTTTAATCATTTAAAACTGGAGACCGAATCAGAATTGAAGTTCGAGCCTTATGAAAATGTTCTCGAAGTTATTGAGGATATTTCCAGCAGTAACCATGGTCAAATATGGGTCAGTTAGTATTGAACTCTTTTCAACGATAGTTACAGTATTGCCCTTTCAGAGTATTATCGCTAATATTTGAACGATTCATGCTAAATTTAGATTAGTCCGTTGAGCAGTCATGCCCTGGTTAACGTTGTTCCTAAGGTATTATCGTAATGAAATGGATGTATTACTTCCTATTCATCTTTTATCGTTTCTACAATTCCTTATTGTTTACTATTAAATATCTAGGAAAAGCGATACTTAAAACCGTCGCCAATTGCCTTGATGAAGGCCCTAAAAAATACTACGGAACTAGATGGACTTAGGAATGCTCACGTAATGACGCTCTTTGACTACTATGTATCACATACAAATTATTGCATTACTGTAGTTAGATCATTACTTGATGTTTTAGATCCGGGATGCGGCAGCTCTGTGTGAATTTTATGCTTGGTTGGAAAAAGAGGTTCTTAAATTTATGTTTTGCCAATTGTCTTAGTTTAATGGCTAAGATACCGCCATTATTTTTACCGATTTCTAGATTAAAATAAATCCGGTTACAGAAATTGGAGCAGCCGATGTGCTTGAAGACTTTCGAAAGTTAGTAAATTTTATGTAGAAGTTCTGCGAAAATTAAATCATTGACAACATCTTTATTTTTGTTTCCCACAAATCACGTATATTGATAGGCAACAAGATGACTATATTAGCTTAAGTTTTCCAACTATTTCATCATCCGGAGAACATGGGGCTATTATTCACTATTGGTGGGAATTATTTAACCATTTTGTTTTGGTCTTTCAATCAAATCTGTTACGTAACTACAACTGTATTGAAATTTTTTCCATATATAGCCCTACGGAGGCATCAAATCGAGAAATAACGGAAACAGATTTGTATTTATGCGATTCCGGTGCTCAGTTTAGGTAATTTTAGTTATCTATCTATTGTAAGAGTTTCATCACTATAGTAGTGTACTGTTTGATCTTAAAAATAAATTACAGAGATGGCACCACTGATGTCACCAGAACTATTCATCTAGGGAATCCAACGGAGCATGAAAAAGTAAAATTTTGCTTAAGGCATTCTATGACACTAAGACAGATTTATTTTAGCATATGTTTCCTACATCTGGTGCGGTCCTATTCGTAAGAATCTAAATGCGGAATTAACTTCCGATAATATATAGGAATGCTTTACTAGGGTTCTTAAGGGGCATATAAATCTCTGTAAAGCAATATTTCCTAATGGTACCAACGGTAGGCCTTGAACTTTTTCCAACGATTATAATAATTTGTTGTTCTGGCAATGGTATTTATGATGTATTGTTTATACAGGCCACGTCTTAGACATGCTAGCTCGTAAGCCTCTGTGGGATGTCGGTCTCGATTATAGACATGGAACCGGACACGGAGTCGGTGCATTCTTGATGGTTCACGAAGGTTAATCTGACGGCTGTCATATATCATGGCCTTTGATACGAAATTGTAAATTCTATGGTATTTTTCTAATTGCAGGTCCACATGGAATTGGATCAAGACCAAGAAAGTACGACGTTCCTTTAATGGCTGATATGACTGTAACCGATGGTAAGATACAGTAGTTATGTCATACATTCTTGCTAACATGAAACTATCTTAAGAGAATATAATTCGTGTCTATTTTGTAGAGCCTGGATACTACGAAGACGGATCTTTTGGTATAAGGATAGAAAATGTTGTAATCGTTAAATCTGTGGAAACGAAAGTACGTTTGCCATAATATCATGTAATCACTAATTATAAGTACAAAATTATAATAGTGTCTGTGAGTTCAGGTTTGAATTTTTTATACCTAAATAGCATAACTTTGGTGGCATAGGCTTCTTAACATTCGAACCCATTACACTGGTTAGGATTTACTAGGCTACTACTATATCTTTTAAGTAGGTGGATGTTCACCACGAATTAATCCAACTCTTGTTGTTTTCATTTTTTGTTCATATAGGTGCCGATTCAGAAGAAGTTGTTATCTCCGGAGTTACTAACCGAAGAAGAAGTATACTAAAATCGAAACTCTGTAATTTTACTATTGCATCTAGTAATATTTGAATCTTCATTTTCAATTTAGGTTGCCTGGATAAATGACTACCATCAACTGTGTAGAGAAAAAGTCGGCGATCTTTTAATACAACGGGGGAGGCTGGATGCATTGAAATGGCTCCAAAAAGAAACGGAAGTGATAGGATAATTTTAAAAGCGACATTATTAACTCGTAGACAAACTTGTTATGCTAAGATAGATTCGGATTTTATTACGATCATAACTATGCAAGAATAACCCCATTAACATAACAAGCATGTAAAATATCGCAAAATTTCTATTAACTCTAATCAAAAATCATCAATTCCAAGTTATGATAGATTTTGGACTCATTACTTTATACAAGCATACAAGTTATTATGATTAAGTTAAGAAAAACAGAATCTACTTTTTAGACGCTTGTTTTGATACCCATTGCCATAAGTTACCAATGACCTGAAATTAAATAAGCCAAAAGCGTAAACTTTCGATAATAATAGTATATCATATTGATAGTAAATAAAACTTATGGTCAGACGTAAGAGGCTGATAACTTGGTAAAAAAATTAATTACCTCTTCTGAAGTAACATTAAAGTTGTGTTTCATGAAATTCTGAAATTTTTCGGGTTTCTTTGGTAAGTTTGGCGACTAAAAATAAAATATTGACGAAAATTATTTAAAAATCAGCGGACGGGGGGGGGTAACACAACAGTAAATCTAGTTAGGGCAGTCCAAAGTACTTAGTAGCCTTAAAATTATAAGTTTTACTTTAAAGCAGGCTCACCTTTCCTAGCTTCTTTTTGATTTCATCAACATTCATGGGTTCAGAACTCTAAAGATTATAATTTAGTTATAGCCAGATAAAAGACGAATAAGTTTACTTTTAATATCAAATTTGCTAATTAAACCATATTCAAGGGCAGCATGTAAAAATAACGACTAAAGTAATTACAACATATCATTTAATAAAACTAATTTGCGTCAGTTATCAACGCAACTCATCATAAATACGGGTAAATTACATTGCTAAATGAACTAATCAATTACTAGTTACAACCAATCCACTTACAAAGCAATTCAACTTTAGTAGATAGAGATAAATACATTAATTAACAGTGTTGTATATAGCACTAAATGAAAACCTTGGCTGGGGTTTTTGACGGTGTTGACTTCGTATCATTCTTCTGCAATAATGATAAAACAACAAAGATAGTAAATTAATTGGCTGGACTGCGAGAGCTACAGTAATCTAGTTAATCTCATGATAATCGTATACCAACCTTAGATGTCTCCTTTACAGGCGTTTGTTTATTCTTCTAATTATTGTAAATTCATAGCAGAAAAAATATTAACTTAGTATTCTACATACGGTAAAAGCTACTCAACAATTTAAAGCATATCACCACTGTAGACTAATCAAATAATTACAACAATTATTGCAACATTAACTAGGTAGTACGTAATTTGTATATTAGAGAGAACCATATTCTTAAACTTATTTCACCTGGAGTTTCGTTAGAGCCTTCGTAATTTCTTCTTCATCATCTTCATCGTCATCGTCTTCATCATCATCATCATCATCTTCTTCATCTTCCTCTTCTTCATCTTCATCATCTAAGTCTTCATCGTCATCATTTTCGTCAGCTTCATCAACAATAAAGTCATCATCGTCATCGTCATCGTCATTCCGTCTTCTTCGTCATCTACTACATGAATATTGCTCTGACCATTTCAAAATTTGAGAGACTATTGAAAATCTTAAATTGCTACCTAGCGCTACTTCCGGCTTTTTTCTCTACAAAAATACAATGCGAAATACGTTATCTTGACAATCTTATGCTCAAACTGTATAACATAAAGAGCTTACTTTTGCAACCGGCCCGTTTCCTTCATCTAATGCTCCTCGTTTCTGAGATTGTAAATACAACATTTGTATTACGTGATATTGTAGAATTAGCTGATAGTAGAGATATCCTACTAACCTGTAATGCAGTCTTAATTTCGGAATCTGATAGTTTGCGAGATATAAATTATTATAATTACAAGTTCAAGTAATGTATACATGTAAATATTTACGTTGTTTATAGTTGGCAAATAATCATACTACTTACCTTCATCGGCATCTTCGTCTTCATCTTCATCATCAGACATATCAACTAAAACTGTTGATAAATTCATTTCACATGTAAATAAAGATTGGAAGCTAGTTTCATAACAAAAATTATACGCATACCTTCTTCAAGACAACCAGATAAATGAACCGGTCCACTACCTATGCGTCATCACAATTGTTCAATTTTAAAGTACTTGATTATGGATGATTTTAAGGATAATCAAGAAGAGACAAAAGAAATATTTAATTAATTGACAATATTACCAGCGGTTAATTTTAATTCAACGGGAGAATGGAGGGTTGCATTCACTGTACTGCATGCCTATAAAGAGAAAATGAAGATACCAGATGCTGTAGACAGAGTAATAAAAATTGTTAGCTTTCAATAAACGTAGAATTCTTACAGATGATCCTTTGCACGTTAAATTAACGATTGGACACTGAACTTCTTCACCACTATAGTCAACGGTGCAAACTTCTACAACATTTACTTCGTCTTTTTTTGCGGAAGCCCCTAGACAAGCCTATCATTAAGATATTATCTAGGTTAATCATTCAATTATCTTCAGTTCCAATTGGTTGTCAACATTGCTATATATCATGTTGTGGTCAACACAACTGTCAAATGTTACTTTCACTCAGTATAGAATATGTACGATTTCAAAATCGAGTTATAGGTATACGTTAGTACCAAGCTACATAAATTGTGATAATTCTCAAAACACTTTTGATTATGGATAGTTCAGCACGACTACTCTTTGCTTACCTGCTTAATCAACAACGTAGTTACAATATCCAATTCTGAATCATCTTCCTCATCGAGTTTCCAAACAATGCTGGGCTTTTCCTTGCTTAGTTTGACAGCTACAACATAAAAAAAGGATTAAATCATCAGCCAGCCAACCGATTCAAGAATTTCAAAATCGACTGGGTTCACACGTCATGAACATTTGACATTAGCAGAACAGTACAGTAGAAGACGTACATGTAGATGATTGGTTTATTCATTTGTAAGGCTACTGTATCTTGCTTTCAAATTTATGAATTTAAGCAGTATATTTACATTAGAATGAGATCATACGCGAATGCTATTTTAATGCATTGACGAGGTTGGCAGTAGACGCTTCTATTCTTGTATCAAGGCTAACTTATAGATTAATATCATTATATCATGAAATATCGTAGGTTGTTTACAGTTTCATTGCAAGAGTAGGTATTTTCGAGAGCTTGGCCAATACAGCATTCCTTGGCTACATCAATAGTGATGATACTATGCAGTCATTAGTTTACCTCCGATCTCACGGATGCCTAATTTGTATGCAATTGATTACGTCATGCTGATAGTAGTATATGAATAGGCTACTCGCACGTATACATTATACAGTACAGTACTTTAGCTGTAATAGAGAATATACGAAAGAAAGGCGGTAAAGTCGATCATCAAGGACATAGCCTCCATGGTCTATCAAAAGGACATTCATTTAGCTAACTTGTTACAGTTGATCTGCAGCGCTATTTCTATTTTTAAAATATAGCCTAACTCTAAAGGAGGAATACAGCCCATCATCCAATCCTGAATATGAATTGAAATCTATTAAACTGCCTAATACTGGACATGAGTAGACTGATGATTAATAAGCCTCGCCATAGGACCATTTATGCAAAATCAGATTGATAAATTGATTGGTGGTTGCGATTCATTTCTACACAGGTAGTTTCTCATTCACGCCTGTAAGTACGGTTAATGAGTACATCATGCATAAGAAAGTTAAAGGCTGGCTAGCTAGCTATCGATAACGACTTCCACTGCATTGTCAATGCAAGGAAAATTTCAATACTACTAGCAGGTAGACATGGCATGGAGTGATCGAGAGAAAGCCTAGGCCATCTGCAGGCATGAGCTGGCATGCAAACCGGTGCGCTACGTGTTGAGGTCAAATGGAAGATAACCTGGAGTGTACGATATTGTGGCCAACATAGCAGCATAAAGTGTACCAGTTCAACTTGCATACAGTATTAGCAAGGGATAACGAATTGATCAAGTGTTCCCTTTCCTACAGAAAGCGACAGTTGAAAATCCTGCAAAAGTAGTGTGCCATTATGCATGACAAGGCCACCCATTTTATACCCTTCTAGATCTAGAAAGGAACAACTCAACCTGGCCTTATGATCAAATCGCTAATGATGACATTTCCTCATTGACTCTACACCCATATACAAGTATCCATGGCCAATCAAGACATTCATTTACTGTCTAGGCTAACGTAGTCATTACTTGTAATGCAATACTGACCCCAAAATTCTTCCTTGCGCATCATCTTGGCGTTGAAATTAGTCCAACCGATTGTCGAAATACTTTGCAGTTTTCCCTTGCAATTACTCCACACGTGGATTGAACGCGTTTGCTCAGTCGGTGAGCTTTTAAGGATGATCTAGGCCTGCATTCCAGTACCACTACAGTCCATACCAGCCGCTCAAGACGCTTGTACTGTACACTGTACTGTACGGTACAGTACAGTACTGTACAGTATGCTAAATACAGTACAGTATGCCCCCCCCAAGTCGATGGTACTGTACACTGTACACTGTACAGTCGAGGGGCTATCCTTGAACAACACTCTGTCTGCCCGCATTGCTCGCCATATTGGATGGAGAAGACTAATTAATGTTGCGAGTTTGATGGCAGTAAATGGATGATTATGAAAGTTCTATAAAAAAAGGATCTTTTAGCAGTGAGTGAATATGGGTCGAGCAGTCCTTGCTTGGGGCTGATAGGTGTCCCTACAGTATAAGGGTGATCGCAAGACTGAACGTTAATACAGTATTGTACAGTAGAATAAGTCATGACTCAACGCTCAGTGACGTGATTGCGTCTTCGACCTCAATACTGCAGGAAGTGAAAGCGCCATACTGCAGCGATTTCATCCCTATCATGATACAAGTACAGTATACAGTTTGATGGTCATGTATGGTCATCAAGGGTGTATTATTACAGCCGCCTGGACTTTTCATCCAGCGCCATGTCTCAGATCATAAGGTAGAAGGATAAAATGCCTTCCATCAAAGCTTCTATAGCAAACAATCACAAATATCGAGTATAAAATCGAATAATGGCATAGAATAGAGTTCAATGGATGAGGATTTGAACCTAAAAAAAGATAAAAATTTAAAGAAAATCAAGCGAATTGAAATCGAATTTTACTTTCTTTACTATGAATTCGAGTAGCCGATCCAGATATGAAAATCCTCATTGCAATATAATTAATTAATTGATGTACCTGTAGAATGGCTATTTAGACCAGCAACCGCAGGAGTACGGTGTAAATACGATGCCTTCTAGTAGGATTTTACCATTCTATTTTATTAATGGCCAATACTCTGTTATAGTATACCGCTGTCATGGCTAATCTCGCTCTGAGAATGATGTACTCCATAAGCTGGAGCAGTACTATGTAAGCATGCAAGAGTGTTAATCAACTCCATACTTGTGCCAATGGCTATGCTATAAAGTATCTTCCAACTACCTACAGTATTAATAACCTAAAAACAGAAATAGCCCGTAAGTACTTACAAAAGCCGTACCAACTGAAAATATATTGTTGATATCAATAAGACAACACTTGTACCAATGGCTATGCTATATAGTATCTTCTAACTAGATACAGTATTAATAACCTAAAACAGAAATAGCCCGTAAGTACTTACAAAAGCCGTACCAACTGAAAGTATATTTTATTGTTGATATCAATAAGACAACACTTGTACCAATGGCTATGCTATAAAGTATCTTCTAACTAGATACAGTATTAATAACCTAAAAACAGAAATAGCCCGTAAGTACTTACAAAAGCCGTACCAACTGAAAGTATATTGTTGATATCAATAAGACAACACTTGTACCAATGACTATGCTATAAAGTATCTTCCAAATACCTACAGTATTAATAACCTAAAAACAGAAATAGCCCGTAAGTACTTACAAAAGCCGTACCAACTGAAAGTATATCGCTGATATCAATAAGATAGAAAATAATAACAACTCAACACTTGTACCAATGGCTATGCTATAAAGTATCTTCCAACTAGCTACAGTATTAATAACCTAAAAACAGAAATAGACAGTAAGTACTTACAAAAGCCTTGCCAACTGAAAGTATATCGTTGATATCAATAAGATAGAAAATAGGAAAATAATAATAATTAATGGTTGATATTCGTATCACTTTAGCTGCTGATGTTAAAAATTAATGCAGTTAAGCTCTTGGCTTATGTACTCACAGCAAGTTAAAACTGCGGGTCGTCGGCCATATCTGATAGCTTGGATATGGTGCTTTTTAGTCTCAGTATTTCTAAATAACGACTCTAAAAATTGAGCCCAAAGAAGCTGCGGAGATACTCTGACTAATGTACCGTAATTTGCATGGTAAGCTTGATTTCGTCTATGGTCAATCACTATTGCCTCAGAGAAAAATGGAGACGGGATAAGAGTGCATGACACATGTCACATACATTCCATTGCAGTTCTTACTTAGTCGATAAGTCTACAGTTCGCTCAATATACGAGTAATCAATAAAAATAAAACACTGCAAACCAAGACGCAATTCTGCTTATGGTGGATTGTTGGGAGTATATGAGTAACCCTAACATAGACGTGGTGAAATCGTCATCCATGCTGAGTGATTGATATACGTGTAGTATTGAATAATTTTATTTTATTTATTTTCACTCGTGGCCTTGATCAATGTCTCCAAAATGATATGGTAAAACTTGAATTTCTTGCTTAACTTCACTTTATTGCATCAATGGGCTCTTTTACTAAGGGCTATCCGTATCTATCCATCTTTAGTGACGATAAGATACTTTTATAATCCAACAGTGTAGCCCAGACCTCTGGTAAAAATTTTTGGACACCTGTCAGCATGATCATAAACTACAAATGACCAACCATGTTTCCACAGTCCATGGATTACACTGTAAACCCCAGCGCAATATTGAAAAATGAAAAATTTATTTGGCAATACAAAAGATATAACAGCTTTACATTAGGGTTAGCCAATCTTACTTGCATTAAATAGAATAATTACTGTATTATTTTCAATGATATTAAGCTTTACATGTATATCTGCCAATCATCGATTTCTGCGCTAACTATGTACGCACAATTACAGACAATATTATCTTCTAGTTCTGACAACCCAAGGTGTCCGGTCAAGACCAAATTTTAAAATATCAAGTTACTTATTTCTTCCTATGCAGAAGTCTATCAATGCTATCTAATTTAAAAAAAACATGACAGAAATTGTCGCTAATGCTTGTACCTTAAGCCATAAGCTTGAGTAAAATCATATCAAGGCCGTAAAGAATATCTTCATTTACAAGCGTAAACAATTTCTAATACTCTGTTCTTCATTTTAAGGCAAATAGATACTTTGGCAAGGAATTAGTTCTATATAGATTGCGATCTAACTTATCTTAATCTATTAGTTTTCATTCCGTCATTCACTTGAAAACAACTATAGTCTTCACTTAATTTCCGTCGTTTCAATAAGAACATGATTTTGTCAAAAATACTTGATGGCCGGACATTAAAACCATTTGTTCTGCATGATAGAATGCAATCAATTCGGGTACTGAATTAAAAGGCTACCATAAAAGTATTTTCAATCACGGTAACCATTGACATCGCAGGTAAGTAAATCATTGAAAAGAAACATTTTTATACGAATTCATATTAATATTGACCATCAAATTTTCTACTTCTTTATTTTAACCTATTACGGTAAATCTACAGTATGTTGGTAACGTAATCTCTTCCTATCGAAATTTTAGATAGATTACCATTTCTTGTTGCTTCCTTTCTCCTAAAATATATTTTTCATCCTCCGGTCTGTAAAGAATTCTAAATTTCAAGGTGGTTGAAAATAAAAACCGTTCAATTTTATTAATATGAATTGATATTCAGTATCGTACTAATACAATACCATTTGGCACAGCATTCAATTTTTATGCTATTTTTATTAGACATTTTTTATTTGTTTTTAAATAAGTAGCAAATAAAAACAGACTTCCAGTAATATACTTACCTTATATGTGCAACAGACTTTTTTGCTATTATTGATAGTACATAATTGTTAGATTGCTGACCATTGCGTACTAGAAATGTTCCGTTCTATTCAATTAATGAGCATACCCATATAATTAGAAGGAATAGATATCGTTACCGTTAAACTAGATAGATCATTATATAGTCTAAAATGCATAGCTTCTACGAATAGTACAAAAGTAAGACTGCAGATCTAAACAACCAGAAAAAGATTACGCTATTAAACACTGAAGTAAAGGCTATTTCGTGCATCATTTGGATTTCATCTAAGCTATCGTACAATACAAAGATATTACTTTCTACTTCTAAACGGAGCGAAACAACGTTGAAATTTCCCTTTCGCTACAGTATCCCTTTTAATGTATACCATCACAACTCATTTTAAAAGTAAACTATGCACTCATAATAATCTTGGCCTTGATGACGTCTACTCCAAGACACTGGTATGTAATTTAAGATCTTTCGTTTAATCGTAATAGTCCAATGATATTATTTACGATAAGCTTAAATCAGCAATATATATATTTATCACTTTCTAATTTCAAACTGCGCTTGTAAGCCTTTATCTTTATCTATGATAGTTCAAACGCAATTAATTATATGATATTCTTACGTATACTAACATTCTAAAAAGATAGCAGTGGAGGTTTAAAAGGGCATACAAAAGGCTCTAAGTTTACCATTTTGTATCGACATAAAGTGTATTTTTATGAATTCAAAGTTGATTTGATTTTCGCCTTAAGGTATTTAAGGCCATATAAAATACAGTATGCTATTTCTGAAGCATCTTTCTATCTTTATAGAGATTTTTATAGAGCATAGTTAAAGGCTCATGACTGATGTGGGAAATGATAGCATATTACAACTGGTATATAACAGTATTATGATCTATGACAGCTCATGGATACTTTTCCTTTCCATGCTAAAACTACCTTAATATATTTGGATAGTTTTTCTTCAGCTTCTTGACGCGTTAAATTTGAATGATACCAGCTATGATCTTCTAGCTTCTCAGAAAAAAAATAGCGATAAAGAAAACTTACAACAATTGCCAAAATTTATCTGTAGCTTATTAAATTAGAGATATGTTGAGATTAAGTTATAGAAATTTATACGCTGTCCTCGAACATTTTACTACGTCGTATTAGTTCAAAACTGTATAAAATAAATCAAAAATAGCTTGATTTAAAAGCAGTTTCTCGATTTATTAGATTATAACAAGGTGATTACCTCCGATAGATTATGTACATCAAGATCAGCTGCAAACGCAATAAGACATTAAGAAATCCTCAATATACATACGTGTAGATGAATATTATGGTCATATTACTAATACAGTACAGGTCCTGCCCAAGTTTGCTAAATTGCAAACCACTAAAGTATTGAAAACTATGCAGTAACTATACTATATTACTACGCTTTCATGTTTACTTACCGCTAAATACCGTATAGATCTAAATAAATTGATTATAATTACCATGATGATGAACGGATGATGGATCTGTCGTAGCTTCGGTTATATCATCATAATCTGAAGTTAATTTAAAAATTGTTACATCATGAATATTAACTTTGCAAAATTGACTCTAATTGCCACTATTTTTATAATAAGTCGAAGATCAACGTGAATATCAAATATTTGACCTTCTTTTGCTGTATTGGAAGTATTTCCATCATTGTAGCGATCAAAATCACCTGTCAAATACATAGTTTGATAGCATATTCGCAACACTTGATTTGTCATCAACTTTATGGAGCTACAATTAATAATAAAATCAACCTACCTTTATAAATCCCTTTCGGACGTGCCTTGTTCTTATTTCTATCATATTAAATTAATCAAATCCAGAATAAAATATTAAAGGGCTGATCCTGATTCTAGATTGAAATATAATTTATATGATATCTAATTCATCTAAATATAATATCGTTTTACAGTTTGTGTTGCTTCTATACCTACATTTTACTGTCATTTGTTGCATGAGTTGTAGGGGAAAATGCTGCTTTTTTTGGAGTGAAATGCTCTTGATTAGATGATTGAAAAGTAGTGGTTATGAATTTCCGTGATGATTGGGGCGAAGCTGAGCCCAATTTATTAGTTTGCTCACTTGGCTGCCGGATATTAGTAGCTTGATTTAATTCTTCCCTACTACCAATAAGATTTTGTGCTAGAGCTTTTACCTTTCCTGTTACTGGCTTCTTAGATACTGCAATTGGTGATGCCACTATAGGTGAATTAGATAGATTATCAGAATTAGCTACTCGCTTAGGGGCGATCCTTTGACTGTCTAGCTTCTTTTGGCTTTGATGACATTATCAAGTGCTGATGATGGAGATATAGCAGATTTTGCGTTTTTTAATAGCTCCAAGCCTTGATTTGTTTGTTTGGGGACTTTTTCGTCGCGACTGGGGTAATTTTGATTTACAAATCGCTGATCTTTTAGTATAAATGGACTACTTGCCACGTTGTGATGGCCAGGATCAACTTCAGGTAAAGTTTTTTTGTTAAGGTTAGATTGTCCTTTCTCAAAAGTTGGATTAGCTTTGCTTTTACTTGTATCGGTAAATATAGCATCGTCCGATTTCTCTGAAGATCTTTTCTCCAGCTGGCCAGTGAGCTGTTGTCGCAATGGTTTGACAAGCTTAGAGTCTACTTGCTCTGTGAGTTGGCGAGTTTTTCTCGCCGGTGGGCTGTTATGAAGTGAACCAGCCATTGATTTAGCTTGTGCAGTTGCCAGGTTGGACTTATTTTCATCAACCTGTTGTTCATATTTCTGCATTCGCTTGATAATCACCGTAGCTTTCTTCTTCAATCTTCTTGGTGCTTCTTTACTAGGCTTGATAACCTCATTGAAAATTTGATTTTTCTTCCTTTCACCTCCTGCAGTCTTTCCAGTTTCTTGCTTGAGATAACCTGTTGCTGGAGCTAAGCGAATGAGTCCTTATTAATAAAAGATCATCAAAGTGGCTTAAAATCAAGGATATACAAGTTGATAGTATTTTAGGATTAAGTTTTACGTATGATTAATATATGAGTAAGTAAATTAATTGTCTACTTACAGATTTTCGCCGATAAGTTCTGAAACAAAGGAAAAGTAAATAATTAGAAAGTGATATATCAAGCTATGATAGCCGTATTGGAACAAACTTTTAGATATTGCAAGAATTTTCTCTACCTGTAGCGCTTGGACAGAATGATTCTCATATGTATTAGATTGAGCTTTATTTAAATTTTGTGTAGCTTTTACATCTAAAATAGGCACATATCCCATAACAATTTTACAGCTTTTGTTGCGAAAAAATCGCATTGGTTTGACGCAACTCTTTTTAAATTTATTTAACCTTTACCTTCATTTCCTACCACATAAAGATAATCGTCCTAGAAAGTATTAATTTTTTATCCTCAATTTCACTTAATCTTTTGCATTAACTTTTACGTCCAGTGCTATTTTTACTAGCCTTAATAAATAAATTGCATATGCCTATATTATACTATCATTGCAAATAAAACGGTAACGAAATACCGTAAGAACGGTCATCTAGTAAGTATGACGCCTTTCAAAAATAGTATCGATATATTTTTAAACAGTATATTTTTATCATGATTTAAAAAGTTGAGACCCATGCTGTAAAAACTGAATGTCCGCTGTAATTAAACATCATCACTAGCAGAATAAATGCTAATATTAATTTTAGATTTTACAAGAATAATCATTCTACAAGTTACTGCTGTTTTATCTCTACTACTATTCGCCCTCAAAACGCTCCATAAAAGTAAAGTAAGCGGAAATATTTATGTAATTTTGATCACGACATATAGATCAGCGCAATTTCAATAATTTGTCATCTAATGCAAAACAAAGATAGATATCTTACAATGTGCTAATAGTTTTTTAGTAATCCCTTATCAACAGAAGACGTTGGAACACCGATTAAATCGTTAGAACAAGTGTAAATGTATCCGAATGAGGGTTAGAATAAGCAGATAATTATTCAAAATATCACTAAAAGGTGCTAATGTAACGTGTGTCTGATTGATAGTTAGCCTAACCTGATATGATTTAGGTTTCAGCGACATGCGTTCATCTGTTGTCAGAAGAAGTAATATTCAGTTTTGACAGTAATCAAGGAGAAAAGTACAAATATAAAGAAATTGATCTCGAAATATAATATTTATATTAATGATCACGCATGGCAAAATTTTACGAAAAATTAAAATTCTACTGCATATGTAAATTGCAGCGGTAAATTAAAATTTCACGATACAACAACTCTACTAATATCATACATTCTTGAGGAATTTGCGAATAAATGTGGGCATCTTCGTCCTTAGTATTGTCCTATAAGAGATATATTATTCCTAATTTATAACTGGACTTTCATTGCATATAAAAAAAATCTTATTGTATTACAATACAACTTTTATTGAATAAAGCTTGACGCAAAACAGCAGCGATGGTAAGATGAAAGCGGTTCGCATCTTATGACTACATATTTCACCATTAATTACTGGGATATCATTGATTCATCACCGAAAATATACTCGTATTTTTTAAATTTCATATAAGAAAATTTTAATTTCAAAAATTATGCTTACCATGGTACTAAGTCTGATTTTGGCATCATGACCTGCAATTGCACAACCAGTCAATATAATTAACAAATATTATACGCATTCTTAAATCGTTAGAAATCCTATATTGGGCAAATAATCTCTATTAATTTCTACTAGACTCATACATAAAGCGATTCTTAATATAAACATACTGATGCTATAATAATATAGTTTTAATAAGTATCTATCTATATACGGCATGCAGACTTTTAAATTGATTTTTACCTTTATTGGACCGAATAATTACATTCTGTTCAAGATCCGCTGTAGAAAATAACAAATAGAATCAGTTACCTTATCTAGTAATATTTGTAATTTTCTGAAAAAATAATTGTCAAGCCAAAATGTTTCATATCTTTTAAAAAAAATAGAGGATGAAATAGCTTTAGCCATAGCTCAGAAGTTGCTACTTAACAGTACTACTCGCTATGATGTTGATTTAATTAAATTATGGAGTAATATTTGACAGTACAGTAGACAGATACCATAGGTAAAGAGTTAGATTGCCACCAGTTATTCAAAATATGAAGACATTGCAGTGTCGATCTAGTTAAATCGTACGGTAGCGCCTGTTAATGAAAATTAGAGTAGATACACTACGGAATTTTACCGCTTGTTGCATTAAAGTCACAAGGCATTATAACATAGTACTGTACAGTATAAAGCTATTTAAATCATGACATAATATCTGTTATTCGAAAATATAGTAGGTGCACTTTGAATTGCTATGATAATAGGTGTACTTTAAGCATTTATTTCCTGATTATAGTTAAAGTAACAGCGCATTACGGTATCGATCTTGTTATGTTCTGAGGCCATATTTGTCAATAGATATACAGTATACCGTAAGTGCTCTATAAGAATGTTTCTTTGCTACTAGATGGTCAGTATATACTAAAATGGCAATCTAGCTAAATCGTGAAATACTATTTGTCAATAAGTAAATGCAATTGAACATTATGAGATGACTACTATGTTGCTACTTTATTTAGTAATAATTAAAATTATTGCAAGTAGCATAAAGTTTAAAGTCGTTGCTAATTTTTATATAAAAATGGTATCGTTACGTTATCCTTGGGTAGATTATTTAATGAAGGTTAATAAAATCTAAATCTGTGAATAAATAAGTTTCGTATCTCTTATTCAAAAAAGTGAGAAACATGATAAGGATTTTAGCTCAATTTACTAAACCAATGTAATATCAACGGACTTACATTCATCGATCTCTAGCTGAATTGGCCCATCAAGGCTAGCCTTTAGCAACATCCAGTATGGAATCAATCAGAATAAATCATCGATATTTTACTATTAATATTGCGTCTTTTACCTCCGGATATTTATATACTAATTGATCGTAAAGTTGACTGTCGACTTCAATAGCTTCAACATCTATTAATACAAAATACCAAATATAAGTCAATTTAAAATGGCAGTAATAAACCTAAACAATTATGCAATCAGTATAAGTATCCATAATGTCTAGTTTAAAATTGCATGCAACATACACCATGAGTACATATATCAAAAATCATTAAGTGTATTATCCTATAGAGAAGAAATGTAAATTTAGTACGTTAGTAGGTTATTACAAATGTAAAGGTAATATATGCCTTGTATAGGAAATGATTGAATGGAAATATCAGTTAAATGTAGTAAATTTACTTTCTGTAGGCTTAATTTAATTGCAAATGCAAATTATGACTTATTTAAAAGTTTAAATAACAAATATCTGTCCATATGCGATGCTTTAATCAAAGTAGAATCAGTATTGCTGGATGTATACAGATTTTAGGATCTCATTAAAGAGCAGCTGTTATATGTAATAATCATTCAACGGTAACATTTTATTATGTTAACGCAATACCATCAGTAGTTTTACTAATAAAATTTAATTCAATTAAAGGCAAGATTCTATAAAAATATTTCACGATTGCAACATAATAAAACACACAAAAGCAATTTTATTGCTATCTGCCACATTTTTTGCGACACTGAGAGGTACTTATACACGTATATATAGTGTTTCATATGCCATGCTGAGCTACACTTCAAGAATAAGCGATAGATCTCTAGAAAAATATTTACTATCTTCATATATCGATTAATTTCAAAAAATTAAATACCGCTATTGAATACGATCAATTTTTCCTTTGCATTTTATCAGTGTAAGTAAAATTGACATTGATCGGATATTGATACCATAATGAATTACTTTATTACGAGTTATTAAAGTAATAAAATATAAACCACATCGTGCAATAAAAAGTAGAGGAATACAAGATACATTAAATTGTAATTACCTGGTTGATCAATTTCTTCATATAGTGAGTTCGTTTCGCTATTACTTAATTCAAGTACCTGTATTTGAAGCGTATCATTAAATTTATTTCGGTAAAAATTATACCAATAAAATTTGATCTACACTACATAGAACTAAAGATTCTATAATTGAGCATTTTTGATGACATAGTTTGCTGAATAAAAAGTCATGAAATCTAGGAATATTATTAAAAATTCTCAAAAGTATTCATTAATTGCCGTTTGATATTCTAATGTTACTTTGAAGCGTAGTTATTATTTCTAACAATTCGAGCTAGCAATGAGAAATAACAGTGAATATGTGAATCCATATTACAATACCTCGCCGGGAGCTGAAGATATAGAATTTCGATCATATTCACTAATTGCTGATGGTAATTCTGTGCTCTTAACCCTTTCTGTGGAGTAAATAATAGATTATTCATTTTATTAATAGGCATATTACATCGCCAATCTTTCATTCGAATCAAATTTATATCAGAAATTCACTGAGCAAATAATACTGCAGTGATAGCATAACTATTGTACTCTATGTGATGAATTTAGGAACATCTCTTAGTGCATGATGACTAAAGATTTTTAGTCATATTTCAAATTAAAATGTCTGGTTAAGTTTTCGATAATTCATACATTATAACGAAACAGAATCTACGACTTTTGAGTGCAATGCAATCTTAGTAGTATAAATTCTTAAATGACTAAACTTACTTCGATTTACGTTCGATTTCTTGGATTTATGAATAATAGCCGAACTATAAAATCATTTTTAGTGTCAAATGAAAGGAATATATCCACACAAACTAATTATATACAAAAGTAGCGGAAAGACGACTATGATCTTACAAAAATTTACTAATTAAACTTTCTCGTCCATATTCATGCTTAACTGGTTTTGCAATGGCAATCGAAGCTACAATTGTCGATAAATTCCTGAAAGAAATGAAGGATTTAAACTTTATAATAGCATGTATATCAAATTTTTAACATACGTATAATACATGGAGAAATCGTATTTCTTTTTAGAGCAATATTATAATAAAAACTGTTTTCGGAAGCTCTCAACTCTTCTTCTCCTCGTTAACTAGATTTAAGTATTAACTACACCCGAAGTCATTATTATAGGATTTAATACGTAACCTAAAGCATTTCGTATGATATTCCTTCTAAAATGTGCAGCGAAATCTATGTACCTGGCGCTTTTATCAGAAATATCCAAGTATTTCAGCGTTGGCATATCTAACGTCTATAAATCCAGATTTAAGATGTTTTGTTTGCTGTATCATTCAAGATACTTATACTTTCAAAAGCAATAGCATAAAACCCTATCGAATAGGCTAGAAATTATAGGTAGTAATTTATACTTTCGCTCACACTTACCATAAACGCATTACCATCAATGTGATGATCCCTAAAAGGACCTATGCAGTCGAAAAATTGATGCTACAATAAAAAGTAATCGAAATTCAGCTATATTAAAAATTAATGTCACTTAAAGTGCCATGAAATGCAACTCAATTAAAACTTTTTAAAGTAAATTTCATTTGAACAGAAATACACGATTATAATAGCGATTTATTCACCCCTAACAAATAAAATTTCAATTAATCTTACAAGTACACAATTGATACATCATCGAGTCCAATAAGATAATGATCTTATTAGAATCTTATTAGGAGAAAAAGATATACCTGCTTAATTCAACAGATAATAATCTCACAGCGCTTATTTAATACTTTAAAAATTCGCGGAATTTCAAAACCACAAAAATTAGCTATTGCAGGCCAATACATGGTCAAGTTGCTCAACTATGTTAGTAAAAAGATGTAAGTTGCGATATTTATATCAGTATCATTGTTAAATATTAATTATAGCCCGAGATTAATTAACGAAAATAATATAGCCCTTGACATATACTGTAATTACTAGATCCGCATATCACTCTCCATCTCAATATTCACCTGTAAATTCTAGTGTAGCTGTAATTCATCTGTAGGCAAAAAGAACTTATTCTCCTATTTCGCGTATAATTTAATAGTATAATTAATGGTTTTCACTCATTCTACCGTAGAAAGATTAATCTTAGTGTTATGTTCATACTGTATTGTATTTGTTATCAATACATAGCCTACATTAATAAATCAAGATTTAGACAATTTCCTCTAATATAGTTAACTTACTTAAATTATTTATTTGCACTTGTGTATTACTTTATAAGGTAGACAGTACATATTTGCCTAGTCGTTAGGGCAAGCGTAAGCGATCTGAAAGGCTTAAGAATTTTGTTAGATTGAATATTGCTACTCATTTGTAACGTGTCAGTTTATTCATAAGTCTAATTTTTACATTACTCATTTTCAACGCCTGTCTTTTCATAATTTAATACATTGACTCAATTATTCCAATTAGTGAATTTATACTTTTATCTCCAGATTTTAATTGGAACAGTTAACATACGCATCGACCATTAAATCATTTCTTAATGTAACTCTGTAATTATCATAAGCCACCTAGTAGGTAACAATTTGATGTACTATAGCATAATACTGTGTTATTCAAAAAACAACAAAATCGGTGTACCGATTCATTAATCTGCTTGAAAATGGCGAGATTTTATCATATATTCTATGACTTAGAATGACATTTGGTACTACAACATTACTACGTGAGTTTAATCTCTAAATTATTTAAAAATAGCTAGCTTTAAATTAGATTGATGTTTTATGCAGTAGTTTTTCAGTTGTAATATCTGTTTTCTATTAAACTAGAGACGAATGTAGTTAAATCGGTCTGCCCTACATAGTTTATAATTCACCCAGTGTTACCTAATTGAATAGTGAAATAAGGAGCATTAACATTATGTAGTCAGAATCTTTTAATCAGATACTTGCCACTTTAATGCTATACGAAAAATCACTGATGAGGGTATTATTAATATTTTTACGCTAGAACTATTAGCATGTAGGAATCCATTACGCTTCCGATAATGCAATTAAATCATTAATGATGCTGGAAAGCTTCGCGATTAAGCGAGTTACTCTAATGTAGTTGGAGTCGTGGATGAGAATAAAAAATTCTTTAATATTGTGGCGACTTTCACACGCCATTATCGTGGTGGTAAGTTTTAAAATTGGTGTAGAATCTTAAAGTTTTTCCCCATTTATGTTTAATCCGACTACAAAAGGCTAAATTTGTTTTGTCTTGTAATTTTTACTTTTTTGCAAGATGAGTAGTGTATTCTTAGTAATATACATCATTAAATCTTTATATCCGAAAGTAGAAACCAGGAATAGAAATTAAAAAAACACCAAAAGTCACGGATTGAAAATTTACACTGGTCAAGTCACTTTATAGCCGTGAATATAGTCTGAAGGATATCTATCGGTATACCAAAATGGCACACTTAAAGTATAAAGTGTCTACCAATGTATCGATTATCCATGATGATATCACTTTTTTGTTTATCATAATTATCTTAAGAAATGCATTTATCCGATACTGTATCCTTTTCACCAAAGCTTAATTTCAATGGTCAAGAATGATTAGTGACAGACTTTACGCCTAAAAACTTATTTAATCATCTTTTTTAGAAGATATTTACGCTAGTTTATAGCATGGTTATGGTCACATAAACTAGTTGATGGCGGCTAAGTATAAAACATTCGAATGATTTCTGAAGGCCATCAACACAGATTTAAGCTAACATCATCTTATAATTTAGCAAGAATAGTATAGTGAACCAGATAGATTACTGAAGAGCGTTAAAAGAAAGCAGTCAGAGCTTTTTCAACTTTTTATAGGTCTGCGTACGTATCGAAAATTCCTGTTGGATGTAACTACGATGCTACAGCAGTATTTCGCGATCTATAATATTTGCAACTGTCGTGTTCCTGAAGAATTATCTTTTATTCAATATAATTTATTCAAGTATTACTGAAAATTTTCAGTGCATGGTTTTAATGTCGATCAGACCAATGAATTCTATTAGGCCGCTTAATATTTATTAAATCATTCCGTATTAATTTATCACGAATTTTATAAGTGAGATGACTTTCAAGAGCCTATTTATTTGACTAATATCAATATGATAGTCATAAAAAATGATATAGACGCAGAAATTTTCGATGAACACGAACAGAAAATTTTTAAAGTTTAATATTAATATCTGTTAGCTTACTTTAAAGAGAAATTCAATAACTTGATGATTATTCCAAGACTTTACTTCATCAACTGTGTATAAATCAGCCATACCAGTTTACAATAAGTAAGTCACAGAATTTTCAATTGATGGTATCAATAGGTTTCCTTCTAGACCAAGTTTAGTGACTGTTATTCTTCATGTATTTCAAGCACACTAAGCCCACAAAGAGTAGACTCAACCAGGATAATTTGCTTTATTTTTAACCTTCGATTCTACTTCTTACAATCACAACTAATGATCTAGCAATAATGATTTGGAGGAACTACTAAAGTGCAAAGTTCATATTTACTTCCTAAGATCGAATAAAAATGGCATCAGTGCCCATAGAATACTCAAATTTCAGGTCAAATATATGGATAAAAAGTACGGTAACAATTTATATCTAGATAAAAGAGTGTTGTTTACATTAATTTTAAACTCTCAGACCCCTTGCTGGTAAACTGCCCATTGCTTTAGCCATTAGTATCTCAAATCATAAAGTTATCCTAATGCGATGATAAGGAATCTAAACTACCAGGATTCAATAAATAATCCTAATGTCAATATCAAGTTGACCATTTCGTCTAAATACTTACCGTAGTAAACCTATCATATTATAGACCACGCTATATTTGTTAGATTGCGCGTTAATACGATTTATTCCTATATACAGTATTAGTTAATTAAAGCATGTAATATTTATGGTACATTTTAGATTTCTATTATTTCATCGCGTTAAATTCGATATTACCTGAATTGAGTAAGTTGAAAACCTACTATATTTGCAGGTTACATAATAATCATGATCGATTAAAATTATAATGCTCCACGAATGTGTTATTTACACTAGTTAATTCTACGTGTTAATACTGTAGTGGATTGTACTATATATAATAATTAATTCGCTGTTCTAAAATCTTGTAATTTGCGTTGTAAATGTGAACGCCGCAAGGATATAAGCTGCCATTTTTTAATCCATAAAGAGAGGGTTGGAGTACGTAGTTAGTTTTATAATAACTTTAATTACTTGTTCAATTTCCTATCTTCCAGGCTAAATGAGAGCAGTACAAACCTTCAATATAGCAATAAGTGAACTACTAAGGCTGACCTCAATTTTAAATCGTACAAGCCACAATGCAATGTGAGTATATACGCTTGATATAATTCCGCTTACAAGTTGCAAGAGCATATACCATATCTACCTTTGCATTAGTGATGCTACCGGTACGATACTTATTTAGATGACTTGAATTAATATAGAATGATAACAGAAATATACCAATAGCTACCTTTATTAGTATTCACCACTAATTTGTATGAAACTTTTGGAACTCTTTTACAACGTAAACGTTGTAATACTATAGACAACCTTATAAGAGGAAAATAACAGCCGCTTTAATTTGATTGTAGTTATATAGAAGGCTAAGCTTTGTACGCTTAGAAATTTTGTATTAATGAAGTTCTTCGACATTTACGTTATGATGCAATTATAGTATGCTTCTGAATGATAAAATTTCATGCTTTTGCAGGGTTTAATGGACATTTGCTAGCGTTAATGGTAGTAACTGAATTAGAATATTGATTTTATATCTAGTAATTGCAGATATTCAGTAAGTGTAAGTACGCTACCTGTCACCGACTATTTCCTGACAAGTTTACTAATCTAACTTAAAGCACTTACTTTGAGTTACTTCTACAGATTACTACCTTAATCTACCGAAAGATCTAGTAAGAATATAGTAGCGCTACTATAACGTGTAAGAACTACCCTTGTAAAAGGCTTACAATCAGTAGACACGCCGTACTATAATCTATAAAACAGCTATACTATAACACCGAAACACTGTCAGTAACAATAATTTCTTATAATTTACGGCAACGTAGTATTGTAACACTACCAAATTTATCGTTAATGGCAATCAGTCTTCACACAAATGTTGAGTACAATCCACTTTACCTCAAATCGACGTAGCTACACGAGATAGTATCATGGACGTAATATTCTCATTTAATAAATCGAGTTGAGTCCATATTCTTAGTAACAGGCACAGCAAGTACAAGAACGCCGTGATGGTATTGGTATTCTACGCCTGATATCATTTATCATCGTAAGTTTTGATCTAATTATCTTATGCAAATAGACATAAGTCGAATTTAGGCGTATTAGTGCGGCTGTAACTACTGGAAATTCTTTTTAATCTATTCGTACTGTGGAATTTAGGAAATTTCAATACAAACTATAAGTTTTTCACTGGACACAAATATCGCTAAGTCACTTTCGAAGGATTAAAAGCAGCAATTAGAAGATAGGAAAGTAAGGTTTTTTCGTATTGTAAGCGTTTATTTGATTACCCCATTCTTGAAAACGATAATATTGAAGGTTATATTACACAATTTTGGCTAGACCAGTTAATTCAGTACCCAAAAGCAGCTAAACGACATGTCTTTTACGTTTTTAAACTTCTTTACTATCGCAAAGTAAAATATTCCATACCAGTAGTATGACAAATCTATTCCTTTAGTCTACCTGTCATTATTAAAAAATAATAATAATTCAAATGAACGGAAAGCATGAAATTGACAAATAATTTAAGTTAATTACTAACATGAAATCAGACATACGTTGTACAGTAATCACTGCAAGTTAATGCTCAGGCTCAATCACTTTAATAATTATTGAACCAAATTACGAAAATTTAAAGGTTAAAAGCAGAAAGTTAATACCAACAACACACACGCACCTACAAGCGAGAATATTCCATTCAATGAAAGGAGAAATGTTATACTTAATGAAATTAAAACAGCGGTAAATAGTAATTCCTCCAGAATTGATGTAAGTGATTTAGATTTTCAAACTCTAAGATTTTTAAACGAAGCCTAGCTTATTAGTAGAATGGATAAATCTAGTTTTATCATAATTAAATCATTACTAGTAGTCTCAGAAATTATCTAGGCTATTAATAATTAAGAGTAATATAAGACCTGATAAGTTTATAAGCATAAAAGCTGCCAAACCCAGGAATAAAGCAGATAAAAAATCATAAAAGAAAAGCTCGACCGGAAACTTTGTAAATGACAGAAGGCGGATTAAAGGTAGGAAATTTTTATTAAGCTATTGTTACAGTGTTATATACTGTATTACAGTAGAAATATCAATGTTAGGAAAATTCTATTAGACTATCCTTATTTAGTTAACTTCTAATTTGGATATACTGTATTTTAATATAGCACTGACTTTTTATGACAGTGACACTTATACACATACTGAAATTAATAGTTCTAATAGGGAATGCAAATCATCTGCTTACAGTTCGAATCATTGTGATTGTAATTTACTTATGGTAGACTGTAAATTATCATGGAAATGTTCCGTGATAGGACATATCGTAATCTGACTATTCTGTATTAGTCATTATATGTCTATGTTCGTAAATACTGTTGTCTGCATTAAGGAAGCAGTAGCTAAAATTAATATCTAATTCAGTAAATGATTCTAATGTTAATTGTATTAACTATGACTCATGAACTATTGAGGAATAGTACATAAATGCAGTATATCGTGAAATAAAGAAGAATTGTCCAACTTAGTGTTTAACGTAAAATACGAGGCGTTTAAGTCTTTGTGTAGTCTACTAGTAGAGCAAAAGTGTTTGTGATAGTGCAGATATCGTTCCTTGATACGTGGTTCAAGGAATTGACTTATTGATCGTATATTGCGTTATCTTGTTGCAAAGCTGTTTTGTGACAACTATATAGCTTTGAATTAGCTTTATTATGGTCTACTAGAATTTCATAATATTTGACCATACTACGTACGGCTAACAATGTAATGCATTGCATAAACTACGCTAGATTGAGTAAAATGAAATACCCACTATTTTATAATGTATTCGTAAATATGCCAATATGAAAGTAAAGTTAACTTCGTCGCCAATATTAATCGCACTTTATCGAGCTGATAACTCTCCTCATTTACGTAACAGATGCTTACTTTACAACGAACTTTATAGAGACTGGCTAAAATATTAACATTCGACAGGTGGTAGTAAACTATTTTAGAGTCATAACGACTAGCCGTTGATTACTATATCAGTTACATAACCTTGAAAATAGACATTCCCTGTTTATATCGCAGGAAATACTAGACGAATTTGTGCTCTTATTGTTAGCAGGGAAATGGCTTTTAGATGAAGAATAAATAAAAGTAGAGCATTCAGCTACAGTACACTCGCCAAATAGTTGTAATTGATGACATGGAAAATTGTAAAACTATTAATTAATTACAATTACGCATATATGCGAAGAAATTATTGCTATTAAGTAGCGAGTTCCATGTGAAAAATTACCTTATCTTCACCTTAGTAGGATTATGCCATTGGCATATCTTTAACAGAAATTATCAATTGGTGAAATTTCAGTCCTACTGAACACTGGTAAATGCCATATATCGTTACTAGGCTATACAAGTTGTTCAATAGTACATGAAGGCGAACGGAATTGATGCGGCAACTCCTTAATGATTAATAATGACTTGAAGAAACTTAGATCGATATGATTAATTGATTATTTATTCCTTACGACCTTATATTTTTATGATCATTAATGAATAGAAGGAATCCATTTCCTTCAGTGGAATGATTGCAAGCAAATGTGGATCAGAGCCATTTTACAGGCAGACAAAGACAACAATTATCTTTATTTTAATAAAAAAATAGCATGGCAACATTAGACAACTTACTGTTGGGATTAATTTATGTATCATGAAATTTTCATTGGCTATAGATAGGAATACAACCGAGTCGACAGGTTACATTAACGACGAAACTTCCTAATTGCCTGATTTGTAAATTGTAAGTCATGCCTAACAGAAACCGATGATGGCCATAAAGATAGCCAATGTTGAAGGAGCTACAATTGTTATCGCCGTCATTATTGAAGAAATCTGATGTTATTTTCTTTCTTTTCACTGACGATAGACCACCTAATGATATTAGCCTGGACCGTATCTATACCCAAAATAAAATAGCTTTAATGGATGATGAAGGTATTAGATGTCCATATATTATTTTACTTTTAATATTAGTATTAGCTGGGACGGTGTTATTGCATCTTCTTGATAACATTAAACAAACTAAGACGATATCGGAAAGTAATTACGAGAATATCATCGATATACTTGGCTGCCGCTGAATTTTAACACAAAATTGTGGAACTGAATATAGAATACTCCTATATTAAAGTATTACTCTATTGGAGATGATATAAACGAGCTAGCAATGACGAAATTTTTATTTTTATTTTAATAACAATAAGAACCCATACAGAGTACTTCTAATTAAAATTAACTAATCAGATAGCTAATTTCTAACCCAAATGGCTGCTAATTATGAATATGTGGTATAACTATGCCACAGTTGATGGAATATAAATTAAAATTCTGTATCAATGTTGACATTGATACAGACATCGTTGATTGGTGAAAGATAATGGTTGCTAAATAAGACTAATTAAATTGAACGTCATTATCCACATTATTTAAAAATCAAAAACAATAATGATTGACGGATAGAAATTGTTGTTATAAACTTATACTACTATTACCAAGGATTCAAGAAACATCTTTCCATTATGCTAAATCAACACCGTCTCACAAGTTAGCTTTGGTAGCTTATGAAGATCAAGCAGTTTTGCTAATACAACAATTTCTGAATCAGCAGTATACGAGCAGAATAATGGCTTAACAAATATATTATCCTCACCTGTATTAACCTTCATCATAAACCTTTCAGAATCACTACCTTCAAGATGGCTGTTGATAAATTTTTATAGTATAGCTCGCAAGGTTTTAAAGATGGACTGATAAATTTTACTTGATATCATTCTATTTGCATGGCAAACGGCATATAAATCTTAACATTAGATGAATACTAATGATATTTTCATTTGAAATATTTTGCCCTTCATAATAAGGCCAAATCGTAATCGTTTCCTTAGAAAGTTTTAGTTTTTAATTGCATCTATGTCACAATTTCACTTCTGCGATAAGGTAACGTACAGTAAAAGTCTAGAAGTAGCTACTGACTTGAACGCCCTTTTACTCAACGTTAAACACACACAGCAAAACACTGTAAAGATGAAACTTTTATTAGCAAAGAAACATCTACAACTTTTTACAGCACCACTTAACTCAAAATATTCCCGTTTATATAGGAACCGTCTAATTTGTAAACAACAACAGTATTATTATATCTTACTAGGAGAAACATCTCGAACTGAGATGTTCCTTACATAGCTTTTCTATCAGTAAATATTTTGAATCTCTTACTCATACTTAATCGTAATCTAAGCTCGTAGGTTGCATAATTCAACTATCATCAAGTGAACTTGAATCATTTTACTGCTATCTATCGCACAATAACAATCATATCAAATATGTAATGAACTATAACAAACAACATCCACGTTAAGGCATTACTTATCTTACCTAGCACTACAAATATGGATATTCTCCATACTAGCTACTACTGTACTTATTAAACTATCCTAAGGACAAGGCAACACCGTAACAATCTAATATAAGAGACGCAGGAGCTGCCCAAGCTTTCAATAAAACCCAAAATCTTCTTTCATTAATTCTGTCATTGCTTTTTCATGAATACTACCGTAACGTACTTGAAGTAACCATGGCATTATGAGGCATTTATTTTTGTTCATTTTTATTTAGGCATATCTTTTCCATCCATAGAGTATTTTTACCATTTAAGAGTGAATAATAATTTATACCGAAATTTATTAGTTAAAACTTTAAAGCTCAAAATGAAGTGAATAATGCTAATTTTAATTTCTCATAGCGTTTCTCTGAGGTTTGAACAATCTAAGTTTGATGACTTTATCGCTTTGCAATTTAACATAACTTGTGTTAGATAAAAGCTCTAGATACCGCTGAAAAATAATTTCTCCTTTATTGATTACGTTTTAAAATGTTAAAAACATCGCATTTGGCTTGAAATATGGTATCAATTTTACCAGAAAAAACATGTATAATATTACCTTCTTGCCGAGTTATAACACCACGAAAGTCTGCCTCTGATTTCTTCTGTATGTTGGGCTTTGATTTTATCGATAAAGCATAACCTTCGTAAGAAAAGTACCGATAAAAGTCAGGAAAATAATCCTGAAATGCTTTTTCAAAATCATCCTTAAGACCAACTATCTCTTCTTTTGATAGACTGGACTGATGCTGCCTAGCTTCAGAGTAAGTTGAATATTTTTTTATTGGTGTCAATTTAACATGCGACATAATATAGAATTGCTTGCTAGAAGACCCATGTGGTCTAAAATAAAATTCAAATGGATCAATGGATGGGAATTCACCATCAAATATTGAAAAACTAAAGGGTCTCTCATTTTTTACTTTCGAGGAATAAATCAACTGTATACAACTCTCATACGTTGCTGATAAATCCTTGATTGGCTTATAAGTATTATAGGTGCAATTGATGACATAATCAAAGGATTCTGTACGATTCTTAACTGAAGCAATCGATTTCTTGTCAAAAGTATAATACGATACATCGACCTTGCCATCGTCTTTATTCTGTAAACAAATTACTCTGCTATTGTAAGAAATATCCACACCCAAGCCGGTTAATACTGATCTAAAATACTCACGAGGAAGATCTACATAAATGGTTCTTTCGTTGGTATCTACCATTCCTTCTATATTTTGATACTTAATAAGATCAGTCGCTTCGATATCTTTATAATTTAAGCCGCTCTCATCCATTATCTCTTTGTACTTGTTGAATCTGATTCCTTCTTTGACTGATTTACCTTTATTACTAGTTGGTAAATCTTTTGAGATAGCATAGATTGCAGAGGATTGCATTTTAGATAGAGCAGGATAATCTTCAACGAATTTTTCAAATCCCTCTTTGCACTGCAGTCTTGTTGTAACACTTCTAGGATAATGAAATCCTCTATGTAATCGAAAAGTATTCAGTGCAGAGGCTCCCTGAAAAAGATCATCATTTGCTTCGAAAATTTGGACTGGATACCCTCTAATGGATAGTGCCCTTGCTAAATGACAACCATACCAACCTCCTCCTATAATGGCAATAGACTCTTTTCTTGCGTTATTACTTTTGCGGCCATGAACAGTACTGATATGATCCAAGCCGTACTGATCTAATAATTTTTTATAGGCTTTCCGAACATTATAATTACTTTCATAGTGTAGGCAAGGAGCTTGAAATCGTGGCTTTCCGTTACCTGGTATTGACAAATACGCCGAACCTTGAAACTTCATTTTTTCCTCTTATGACGAGATGATAACTTTTTTTATGTATACGTATGGCTGAAATTTTTTTGAATCCAACTTTAATTTTTAATTTAATTACAATTATTCGCCTTATTTATATACCTTTACCGTAACTTAAATACAGCAGCTACGGAATCTTCTTGAAGGGTTATTGAAATGTTAATAAAATGTAAAACTATAACAAGAATTGACAACCAGTAAGATACAACAATTAACTATTTATCATTCATTGTTCAACTGCTGAGATTTTAAAAGTACATTTAACCCCACGAGAATGGATGACCTTGTTTTTAAATGACTTTTTCTTTATTTCAAAGAAATATAACCTAGGATAAGACTACCTGCTGTGCAATGTAGAGAGTGATTTCATTGCATACGAACGCTTGCACTAATAAATTCATTCATTTAGAATGGGCAGTATCACGCATTCCATCTGGATAAGGCACGAACTGTCGTTAAAAATTATAATGGGAAGGTCGTGTAGCTATTGAATTTTTTTCCTTAATGAGTTCTAATATTCTTTAGCCATAATTTTATACATATTTTTAGCATAATAGCAAAAAAGGACCCGCTGACTAAAAACACGCGCCATAAACTTCCGAGACTTACATGTTAAAGAAGGTTTAGATAATAATATTTAATGATTGTATAGTATATTATCAACTGGATATACAGTGCCGTACTTTCCAACGTTGTGTATTTGAGGTAAAAAATGTCTAATCAAATTTCACAAAATGGAAAATCTTTCATTGCACATTAGAATTTATTTCTGCAATTTGTACTTGTGCCTGATTTACGCTGTAGAAGTTTGGATCTAGTTAGGCATAGGCACTTAAATTTTAAGCTGTGTTGTATCCTCGTTGAGATTGTTATTTGAGCGTATCCGGGTATGCGTTCTAGAACTGGTCCCTAAGTAATGCCTGAAAAGAGGCAATCGGGTATAGGAAATAGTTTCTTTGCACTCTCTCGACTTTATTCAATTAATCCATTTCGAAAAATGTAAGGCATAAATATGCGAGTTTGGCAATTACAATAAAACATGATCAGATTAAAACGACAATTAAACTGAATCTATTAAATATTGACTACGATCTTCAACAAAACGTTTTGCTAATCTACATCATATTTTATTATAAATGATTTTTAAATTATCTGCTAACATGAAATCAGACCTACAATATTCGTAATAAGGTTATAGGGCAATTACTTAGCTTAGTAAGTTTGCACTTATGGCCTCATCACTTTTATTAATTATGAAAACGAATTACGATAATCTTAATCGGATCAACATCGAACTAAGTAATGATAATGTCTCCTACTAAGTTAAAATTATTATTATAATTACTAAAAAAGGAGAAACACATATCGATTTAAGCTGTGGTAGAAATGTTAATTCTAAATTTTTCATTGCCGGTAATTATCTTTACTATTCACGTCGTAAATTCTTAAATAAATAAACCGAAATAGTATATTTGGAAAATAAGTAAACAAAAATATCTAGTCGTCATAAAACTGTTGCTATCAATAGATCTAAGAATCTGTTAACTACGATAAATAAAAAGATCTAATGAACAAATAAACTGCATAACAAAGAAAAAATTGAGATCAGAAGTAGAGAAGGCAAAGGAGCTTGACTGGAACCTATTATGAGTGTGATTAATAAGAGCAAAATTGAGTAAGGATTAATTAATGGAATAAAATCTGGAATGATTTCGTACTCAAATTCATCAATCGTAAGCAATATTACTGATTAAGCTAACCTATGACAGAGCACACTTGCAGAGGTATATAATCACCAAGTCGACTTGAGTTGCTTCGAATTAGTGAATAGATTAATGATGTCCTGGATGCAGCATTGTAGCCTTATTACAAAACACATTAGGTTAGTAGCGGTTATAGTCATAATGACACTGTAATAGTGTAATAGACTTGATCTAATGATACGCTCGCATTAAGTCAGGCACAATTAGCGAATATGCCACTTTACGAATTCTATAATAGATCATGCACGCAAAATCAAAATAAACTTACGAAAAAAATTCAACGAGTACATTTCAATTTGAAGAATCGTAATAATGTTATATTCTGCCACTAACCTATAAGGTAAAATTTCACGTCTTGGCAATCTTTTTTACCAGAACTTGACGTTGGATATACAATGTCGTAACCATTTCCCACAATAGCTTTAATTATTGACTTTAAAATTGTACTAAATGTAGATAGATAATGCAATTAAAACATAGCTTAAATTAATGTTGATCATTTTCCATACTTTAAAATATTACATGCAACATTAATAAATGATAGCAATATTCGTTTCTATCCATTTATATACATACAGTATAATCTATAGGCTTACAAGTTGACTTACGTGTTATATTTTTTGGATGCAGTATTGGGTAATGTGATTAAAGCAGAATGATTCCCAACTTGAGGGATAATATCAGCACAAGCAATCCGGCCCCCGCCACTATTTGCAGCATGGATTACAATTGATCTCCCAAGAACTAATATTTTTTAAAATTAAGTTCAACTATTTAGGACTATAATGGCTTCCTTAAATGCTCTAAGTGAAAGCAAAAAAAGTCTACAACCCATTAATTGTATTAAAAGATCGGCAACAATTTACTATTAGAAAATGAAATCATAATGATATCCTAGTAAAACATTTAACGTATGGACAAATTAGATTTAGTCTGCATGAAGACTGATAGCAAGTCTAATAAATTTTGTTATGCAGGACAATATGGTAACTGAACTTAAGCCTTTAAAGTGTATAATACAGAACTATGAGCATTTTTACTCCAAGTTAAATGAAGCTCCCGTCGATAAGATGACGGACGCTTGATACAGTTTAAAAATATTAAATTTACACGGTATGAATGGAAGATTAGATATCTAAAGTTTCAAGCTAAATACGTGAAAAATTAAAGACAAGTATAACTATGTATTTTTACATTGTTAAGTTAGCTACCTGTATAGACGCCACTCAAAGGTAGGTAAGAGTCCGTAGTCAGATACTGAAAGTTATCTGTAATATTTATTTGTTCGGATTTACCACTCGAATCGCCAACCTCACAACGTAAATAATTGCCACGATTGCATTGTTGCGTATATGCAGGTTTCTTAAATGATTACATCAAAAAATTACTATCAATAAGATCAAACTTTATAAATCAATAGTTTATTCGGTTAATATTCATTAGTAATTTTAGATAAACACTGTTAATATTTTCAGAATCTATATTATCATAGTTAACAATTGTTACTTCAGAAGATGTACAACTTTTGCTTAAAAATTTGTCAGTCATACCGTGACGTTAACCATGAAGGGATTGTAATGGCCTTCAGTGCTTGCACATCGACCCTGGCTAGCAGTAGCATCATTATTAACCGGTGATTCATGGACATGCCAATTATGTTGAATAGTCTATTGATATCAAGCAATGATAAATAAATTTTTCATCCTAGATATTCGTGTATTCTTTGGTTGTTTTTATAAGCAGTATTAAATAGGTTTTCAGATGGAAAGCTTTAATCTAATGCGATTATTGCTGAAAATGAATTCAATTAACTATTTGGTAGATTGCTCTTACAACTATTTGTACATACAATTGGTAAGGATTGATTTCGTCGAATCTGGATGAAAATAGTTGTTTCGCTACTCCCATAACGTTTAGAATATATGGTCTGGGTCTAAAATAGCGAAGAAAAGCAGTAGCATCAGTCATATTTAATACCATATCGACGATATCTTCACTATTTATAAATTACATGGGTGACGAAGAATTATCGTAATTACGTATATGGTCTTCTAGCATATTCATTCGATTTGCTGATTACGTATATTTAAGGTAGCACGATATTATCTGATCTGATTAGAATGGCTGATCTGTTATATGGATATTATTCACTAATTTTAAGCTAATGTATAGCAGCGTCAAATGACCACTACTTAAATCAGCTGCTGTAAAATTCCTAGATATTGCGATAATTTTAAGAAAGCATATTATCCCATTTTTCAACTATTACTAACTGACTGTTTGCAATAACCTAGAGATGATACTGTACGTTTCGATAATTCAGTAAATAATAAAATAATTAGTTAAATCTATTTTCTAGCATAGAATAAAAATCATCGGTTACATAAACCATTTATGCCTTCCAGCTTAAATAACATCTAATTTATGATATTCGGTAATCTTAATAGAAACTTAATAGTGAAAGCCAAGTCATAAAACGGCATATGAGTAGAGTTTATTTTAAATTAAGTAGTTTGATTCTGTAATGTTGCTGTACAGTATTTGCAATATTACCAAAGTAATACTACCAATCGCGGCCGGGCCCTTGAATATTGCGATTCCACTTACGACAAACGAACCCGGTATCTGTGTACGTTGTAAAGTCGCACACTGTTTTATCTTATCATTTGCTATACCAATCAGTGCCACTGATCTTCCAATAACACTTTCCGTACCAAACAATGGTAGATTGGTATCTTGAAATTTTTCTATTAATACCAAAGCATGATTTAATTTTATGCCAAGTTTACCAGTAAGATTGCCGACAGGATACTGATCATTTGTGCTACCTTCGATAGCTACATAAGGGAAAGATCAAAACACAATAGTTAGGCTTAAAGGATAATAAAACAAAGACGGGATGAAAACTCTAACTATATAATACTAAATGCAGGCAATGTTATATTATTTAATAAACTATAAGTCCACATATACTATACCTTACAGCTTAAATGGCAGTCCTAAGTAATGTTAGTGCAATATAATACCGTAGATATGTCGGAATTATTGCGGTAGTATACAGTATAAGCAAATCGTATCGACTAACGCTTGCATAGACTATACCCATGATATTATTAAGTATTAAACTTTATATTGTTCCTTAATTTAGCGTTGTAAATAAATTATGTTAAATAGAAAAAACAGTAAATTAACAATAGAATGTTCTAATTTATTTAGAACCATATGACATTGATGGACGTATTTAAAAAGTTGTCATATTCATATGATAAAATCAGTCTTTCCTAAAGAATGATTCTAGTAATTTAATGTTGATTCTAAACACTGTTAAATATTTTTATTTGTACGATTTGATACCTGAAGATACTTTCTGGAATGGGTTAAAAATGTCGATTGGATCACATTTTGGAGTGCTACCAATATAGCTAGCGCTAACTTCTGAGTTTAAATTCTTTAAATTTAGGTTCACTATAGTAATAGCAGCAGGATCAACTTGCTGAAAACTTATTTTTCCATATTGATTTAAGTCAGCCGTGGCGTGACCTACTGCAATTTCCATTATTTTACCGCACGAAATCCGGCCAGCACCATATTGCTTCGCATGAACTACCACAGATCGACCAAGAATAGAATTTTTACCACTTAATGGTGTATTAATATCATTATAATAGTAACGATTGACTTGATCACCTATACTAATTCCACCTTGGCGTGTAGATAAATCTCCTAGCTCACACAATATAGGATTTGCTTTACAGCGAGCTTTATAGTCGCTAGCCGAAATGTTAACATTGGAGGGGTTATAATGACCTGCGGCACTAGTACAACGACCACTTGTTGACATTGTATCCGTCAAATAACCTTGAGTATGAACGTGCCAGTTATGATTTACGGAAGGAGAATCTCGCCCAGATTGAGAAATGGTGATATATATACTAGTATCTGCGTACGGATCATCTCGATACTGTGTAAAGATGATATTGCCTACAACAGGAAATACCAGACGAACTTGTGCTTTTATCAATGGTAGAGAAGGGTAATTTAAAGTTGAACAGATCCAATCTCTATTTGCAGATGAAGAGCGGATGGCAATAGAGCGTCCAACAACACTAAATTCGCCAAATAATTGTAGTTGGTAATGCAAGAAACTGCTATTAACTCCTAATTGATTGGTTAAATTTCCAAATTTTCCTGACAAATCTCCAATAGGTAATAGATTCATTGCGGAATGTTGATTTATATTCATATTAGTAGGATTATATATTTGGCCAAGTCTTCGGCAAGGATTATCAGTAGGTGAAAGTTTTAGTCCTACTGGATACTGATAAATACCATACGTTGTTGCTAGACCATTCAAGTTATTTAACATTACATGAAGGCGAACAGGATCGAGTTCAGAGTTTTGTTCAAGTCTGATCGATCCTGTAACTCCTTGACTATTGACAGTGGCTTCGAGAATCTTCCGATGAATTCGTTTAACTATTCCACACGACTTTATGGTTTTGCTACTGTCATTAGTAAACAAAACAACATATTTTCCTTCAATGGAGCGACTGCCATTTAATGGAAGATCGCGATCATTTATCAATAGTTTATTCTTTGTTAATGTTGGATCAACGCTTAGATAGGCATGTTTGCTAGTAAGTTCTCCGTTAGGCGCATATGCAGCAGATGAATTACAGGTATCTCGAATTTGCCATTGGTAAACTCTGTTATTTTCATAAGAATGCAGTGCCGCTAAACTCAAATATAATGTAGTTATAGATGTACTTGATGATGTTATGGGTTGAACTTGGTGAAACAAAACTCGACCCTGAATCTGACCATGCATTCTAGAAGACATCACAATTGCTACACCGGACCCAAGCAGACGAACACAGAGCCATTTACTATTATCCTGAATGATCATAGTTCGCCCAGCAATTGATAAATTACCGCTGAGATTAAGTAAAGTATCTTGAAATGTTATTTGGCCATGAGTAGGAATAAAACCATATCTACTAGTTAAATTACCGACTGGACATGTTGTGAGCTGATTTTGCATATCACAAGTAACTCCTAATGGAACCCGATGAGGATTATAAATAGAGCCAATGTTAGAGGAACTGCAATCATTATCTCCATTGTTGTCGATGAAACCTGATGTTATTCCCCATCTTGCGGTAGAGTTTAGGCCATTTAATGACACTTTTATATTAACGGATGATGAAGGTGCTGATTGTTTGAACGTTATTTTGCCTTTGATAGTTTCCCCATCAATATTAGCCACGATGGTGTTATCACATCTTGCCGTTAATGTTAAGCAAGCTAGGAGGGTGATTAAAAAATGCAGGAAGGTACAAGTCAGACATTCTTTCCACAAGATAGATTTTATCATGGTGTTACGTAATTAAATTTAAAATCACTTGCAAAAGTATCACACACTTGTGATTTAGAAGACAAAATCGATTGCTATTTGTGATGAAATGCAATTTTTGTTAACGATATTCGCCTGTACCGATTACCTATTTAATTAACTAATCGGATACGCATGATTGCTTATATTAGTAGTCGTCGGATAAAACTGTATTTTACAATATAGTACGTAAACTTTAAACATAATCAAAAAATCAATGAAGACGTTGATAATTGCATATTCATACAAGATTATGTCTGTTAATAAAAGAAATTAGAAGGACGAGCTTTGTACGTATTGTTTAATTTCGTGACGATAATCATGATTGATAGATAAAAGGATGGTTGTGGCAATCTTAAGTCCTTATTTATTCAATACAATATCTTCCTATTATCATACATCAACATTGTTCAGATACTATATCCCCTCCTTTTTTTTATCCTTTAGATGTTCAATTTATCACTCGAAGCTATATTTATGTTTACCGATTTTTCTGTAGCATCCTGTCAATATTGAATAGTATGACTGCAAAATATAGGTTTTCAATGCTTATAAAAGCTATAACGCAACATGACTTCCGTTTGAAGACATTAATTGTTTGAATAGGTAGGCGCAATATGCGACTTCAGAAATTAACTGTAATGCCTTACAATAAATGATAGTCGTACCAGTCTCTGAATAATTATTAATCGTCTATGTTGTCATCGTTGTGATAGATTGTAGAAAACAAAAGTTTTAGACCAGGAAATCAAAGCTATAACATTGGTTGTCATCTAGGTAATTGGTATAATTTCATTTCAGATATCAATATCCTACTACAGTAGTATTTATCTATCTTTAAGGCTAAACAAAATAGAGGTACCTCTATGCGAAATACAGCTTGACTTTAATTTAGGAACGTTAAATATGCAGTTACATAAGTAAAATACATTCTTGAAATCAAATCTGTCATCTTATAATAATCAGATAATCGTATAAGTCAGCTGGCAATTAAAACTTTTATAATTTTCGTTTTAGCTATTGAGGTGAAATCGTAAAAATGATTAATTTCAGAGTAAGTAATCAGCTCCGGAATGTTTATTATCCGCATAGATAAAATGTAAAACTGACTTCACTCTTTATCGAGTTGTTAGAGCAGTATTACCCTCACTTGTACTTATGTTATTCAGCCTCCAGCTTTGCACAAGGCGCCTTAACAATTAATATAATTATACATTCCGTCCATCTCAAATTAGTTAGGCTGAAAGTGGATTAACTTTGCACTGTTAAGATTCCATTGTAAGCGATCGTAGAAATGACAATTCTCATAATTACTGTCTGATATCTGTATTGACTTTTCTCGCTTCTCTGTGGGTAGCAGAGATCGCCCGATTATAAATACATTTATGTGGCTTTAAAGTATATAAGAAGAAAGTTCTTCACTACGTCAATAGGGTACTGCGTTTAATTCTGTTTTTAATATACGTCTAACGTAACCACACCTATCTCATGCCTCATCGGATGATATATATAGTTTAGTTTGCGCAATAAAATGTTCGTCATACATGCGTAATTATTAGTAAGTAAATACAAGTACTACACCTATTAACAATAGCTGTTAATATTTATGACCTTTGATCTTATTTCCGGTAATAATGACTTACACCTACAATCCAGCGCTTCTATTACAATATTTAAAGAAAGATCGATAATTAGTCATAAATTTTTTTTCCAGCAGTTATAACATACTTACCGATAAGGAAGACTTTATAATTTGCAATTAGCTTCTCATTATTGTTTTTTTTTTTAAATTGGCATTGAGAACTCATTAATTATATTATGTACCCGTTTGTAATCATGTTAGAATTAATGATATAGGTACTAGTTCTACTATATGGAATACTTGGTACCGATAAGCTGATCATCATCATCTAGTAACGCTATCTATCACACTCAGAATCTTTGCACTTGCTGGTCGAAGGTCGGGAAAAAGCTTTCGTGATATTATTACACAAAAATATTTTGAAAAATTTGGGCGAAACTGCGTTAATAGCAAATGATATGAGTAATATCCATATAAGCGAGATATGCTAAACGATATCATTAGTTCGATGATCTATTGCGATATGATTATATGGTGTTCGGCAAACAGAATAGGATACTGTAGCTTCAGTTAACGCTATAACTAACTAGTGTGGACATACAACAGTGATGATAATAATATCTTAGATCCGAAGATCGGGTAACGTATATTCTTAAATCTCAACTAATTAATTATCAGAGAGTATATCTTACGGTGCAATTAATTGTCTACTTAACATTGATCTCATACAGTCATTTTTATTAATCGGCAGTTCTATCACTACTTTACTATGTCGTGCGTGAGCATGAAAGCTAAGAATGGGCGAGTAACAAGGATACTAAAATTCGTTATTTTATAGCTATTGATTTAATTCAACAGTATGAACAGAAATTTATTCAATAGTTTTATTGAGTAGGGACGTGGATTGGGCAATAAGAAGACATCATTTACTAACAGTCATTAACGATAGACTACACCAAAGCTGTTTCTAAATCAACACTGCAATTGTAGCGTTGCAAACTCTACGTTAGTGTCTCGAGGACCGACATGTATTACAAGTATTATCACTACTAGTAAAAAATTACCCGTTCACATAAATTGGAAGTTTAAATTATACTGTACGTAGATAGCAATGATGGTGATAATAATATCCTGTCATTACAATGTAAGTCTACTAAAAGATTTTTCACTTGCAAATGTTGATAGGGTTTAATTACGAAGGACTATATTTATCTTTTTGGCGTAAACATATCGATAAATTTTACTCATCACTATTTCCAATTGGAATGCTCTATCGTATATTCCAACTAGGCAAAAGGAACAATTTTGGATACTTACCTATTGCTAAATAAGCTACAAGAAGTATTTCTGGGTAATTCTTCTGAAGAGCCATGCCCTTTTTCACGTTAAAGTAATTCGTAGTCAATATAAGTGCGCTGAATTTATATACACACTCGTATACTGTATAAGAAATAGATAAAGTAGATTCTTTACGATATTCACCACCAATTAGTCGAAATACTGTACTATAAGAGTGCTTTACTTCACATCGAATCAAACGTTGAAGATTAGTGTACCATATGTTGAATAGAGAGTGTTTATGACTATGAAGTAACGCGTACTAGTGCCAATCTCTGAATACTAAGAGTTAAGGGATTGAGGTATCGAAAGCTCGCTCTTGATTATTTGGTGGCTATATTATTGATATCAAAAAGCTAGGCGGTACAGTACAATAGATCAATCAATCAAATAAGCCGTCTCCCTACAATCCGTTTTAAACTTATGTCTACTCTCACATTTCAAGGGGATCTGAGTTGCACTAGTTGATAACAGAAACTGCCAAATACTGTGTATTGGAGTAATTAGACTCTAATCTCACAGTCTTTTCAGTGACTGCAACGTCTATCTGTACGGAAATCTACTGATCTTGTTGACTATAATAATAGTTACAGCACAAACCATATTCCTGAATTACTATCTAGTACAGTCAAACAGTAAACTGCATACTTTCAGTTCATTCTGTTTCTCAAGGTGCTAAAGGTGCAAGTATGTATAGAAGATACAACTATAATTCTACGTACTGTACTCATCGCGCCTTCTAATAAAATATCGTATCAGAATTAGGCATATCATGAATAGTTAATTAGCTGTACTCGTATGCAATTCCGTGTAGATATAATACACGATATAACGTCATTAGAAATTATTTTACGTCATCAGATTGTGTAAATTGCCTCGAGTCATTATTATTGGATTACCGAATGCTGATCCAGTTCCAAAGATGGATATATAATAATACCATAGTGTCATAAGATGAGTCTGTGACTCTCTGACTGAGGGGCATAAGAGGAGACTTTGTCTTTGAGATCTAGCAGTCCGTACTACCTTTAGTTGTATCGTATCTAATATAGTAAATAAATAATAATAGGAACTATGCACCTATTACACTGCGAGTCAGATCAAAGATCTTAACTATAGTAGTCCTTGTTCAGGATGATGTACGAAATTAGTGTATATTACCAACATTGCAAACCAGAACGGTTGATAAGTTTAACTCACGTTCAGTAGGTAGGTACGTACATTTTATAAATTACTTCATCGTGCTCTGGTAGCACTGTACTGGTATTGACAATTTATTAAAGTTTGTCATTACTGTCGATATTTGCACTGTTGGTACCTTCGCAGCAACGGCGCTAGGTAAAATCAGAAACGCAGTAAATTCTTGCCAATACGCCATGCCCTTATCTTTACTGTACTAGTACTGTGCTAAGGTCTGGTATACAGTAATAGTGGAAATTTCGCTTTTAATGGGTCCTACTAATTGAGTAGAAATAGTAGGTAGAGTGCACTAGGAACAGTACCAAATTTAATCTGCAGATAGATTACACCCGAACAAGTAATTATAGCCCAAAAAATTGACCTTGCTTCCTTCATCGTGTAACGGCTGAGTTATCTTAGAAAAGAGGCATTTATATATTGTTCTGAGTTAGTCAAATACACGGCAGAGAGAGTTAACGCAACACAGAGAAAAGTGCATCACCGCAAAGCCAAGACACGACTCTGTTTATTGTGGATTGTTGGGAGTAAACGAGAAACTCCAATACTTGCTGCAGTTCAAAACTTGCACTTGAGCATGAGAAAAAATGTTTCATAATTCAAAATTAGCCCAGATTGCATTCCATTCCCGATTGGAAAATCACTCATAAGTATATAATGCAGAAACGCTCTAGTGTACAATGCAGTACTGTACATTGCATAGCTATGGCCTATGAGTATGGCATATACGAGTATTAGGCGGATCATACGTGCACCGGCTAATAAGCGTATTGGCCGAATATCGGGTTTTGGCCGCAACATATATACGTATAATGAAAGATTTCGTGCTATGGCTACCTACCACACATTTCACTGGGCGATACCA